GCTTTTCATTGTTTTTGAGACAGAGTGGAAAGTTGAATTTTGTAACTTTATTTTTCAAAATGTTTTCCTTAATCATGCTGATACATGGGGTATGTTTCTTGAGAAATCTGTACAACACTTACAGAATGTATACAAGGGATAAAGAAAAAGAAAAGCTGACAATTTGTTTAAAAAGACAGGACATTGAAGAGCATATTGGTTTCATAGAATCATACAATTAATATACAAAAACACATTAATACAGCTGTTGTTGCTGTTAAATATTTTGTTGACAGACAGGATCAAGCAGGTAAGAGACACGCAAGACAAGAATGTTTCATCGTCCTAATGTTCACAGAAATCAAATGGGAGTACAGACTGCATTTTAAGATGAGCCAAAAACCTCTGGGAACTCTAATGACGAGATCTTAACTGCACTGTCAATCATTCACAAAATATTCTGAGACAGAAATCATTGAAGACAACAAAATAAAATGCTATTCATGCTATACATATTACCTTTGAATAAACCTCCCTACACAATATAATGCTTTCTTAAAATTACACTGTAATCTCCATTGTGAGTCAATCTGCAAGTTTTTGAAACGGTGCAAGCCACAAACAGATATAACAGTTGCTGGTACTATGTAGCAATGTGTACCCACACTAGGTACACTGTACAGTACCTTCCAATGTAATTACCATGTAAATGATGGCCTTAGTGACACTACATACAAAGTAGGACCAAAATAAACATTCATTTTGGAGTGTTTTATGATTGACAGTACCCAAATGAAAATAGAGAGATGCCAACAAACGGTTTCAACAAAAAAACAATGGAAAAAACTGCTGCTCATTCAAATAAACCAGTGGTTATTTGGATTCCACAATCTAAAATAATTTAGCTAAGAGTTCTTAAAGCTGAGATCCATATTAGGTGAAACAGCGCCACTGGTCGCCCCAGGCGCATTTGTTACTTGTTTTGTTGAGGACAGGGGAGCATCTAGCATTGTGGTAAAACAATTATTGTATTACATACATATCACACGTGCAAGGATGTGCAGTGATGTCCCCCCCCCCCCCCCCCCCCCCCCCCCCAAAAAAAAAAAAAAACGATGAAGTAACATCTTTGTTGTTGTAATATCGCAAATGGACGTGGCAGTTTCACCGCTACGTATTCCAGCTTTAAGGGTTCTTAAGAACATGGGAATGGTGAAATACATCTAACTACATCTAACAAAGAGACAGCATTCTGTAGTGTGACAGAGTGGATAATTATTTGTTACTTATCATTGCTATCATGGTTGGTATAGTAGGACTTCAAGCTTAATCAAATGAATTACGGTATTCAGCACATCAGAATTTCCATGGTCTGTTTTCATTCATCAAAGTGCATCATTAACAGAAGGAGTAGACTCCCAACAGTAATACATATAACTCAACTCAGACTTTCTTAGAACCTGCACCTTTTGTTCTCAGTTTTGATTTAAGACACCAGTTAACAATATTGTGCTACAGCTGAGCCACTTGGGGTGCTTTCATTTCAACCTGGTACAGTAGGGCACTACATTATAGCATATGTAAATTCCAAATGGTATCAGGTAGCTACTGTAGCTTTTTTTTGTTGTTGAGCAGTTAGAAATTTCATGTGAAACGTGTCATAATATTGTGTGTCAAATACCTAGTAACTGGAACTAGCCACTTGGACCAGGATTAATTTAGTTAACAACAAATTATATAGAGTTGATCCCATATAATATAAAAGATCGATCCAGATGCCAAAAGCTCCAAGATGCGGATCAGACGGAGACATATAAAGGCATCCTATCTAGACCTGCACTCCTTTATCACAAGTTAAACAACATGTTAATTGGGTCCCTTATAGCAACAAGCAGGAGGATATCCACTGACAGGACAAAAGTGCTGTCAGTCTGAGAGCACTCCTCTGTTCCACAACAGGACAGTATGTGTCCACATACTCACTGCAGTTCCACCGGTCAGTGACAGGAGTAGAGGCCATGGTAACAGACTAATTAACTTAAATTCTAATGGAAAAGAAAAATAGTTTCCGCAAAATCTATTTAAAAACAAATGTTGAGACGACCCTGGCGTTTATTTTATGGGACAAATAAGTTCGTAAAAGCTGAGCAAGGCCTATTTCAAACCATAACATGCGTCTGAAATACAGTTTAAGGTATACGTATGAAGCTGAGCTATTATCTCAACTACCTCTAAATCACCTCTGCAGTATCTCACTCAAACCATTACTCTCCCTCTGTCTGCCTGTTCCCAAAATGGAGGGGGTGGGGGAGAGAAAGAAATCACAGGACATCATACCTCCTCTTTCACATTGAGCAAAGTAGAAGCTGGAGGTGAGACCGATGAGCTACATGAGGAAAGCAGAACAACACATTAAACATGAAATATGCAACAATGTCAGATGCAAAGACCATTTTAAATATACATTAGAAATTCTCCAACAGTTACAGTTCGCAAGCAAAACTATTGTCTACATTAACCTGCTAGCTTGAAATCTTTTTTATTATTCTGTATGGGCTTTACCTGCCTGGCTTGTGTATACAATTATTTTATTATTAAATGCTCATATAATTGATGGAAGTTTATCATTATAGTATATAACAGCATACAATGATTTACTGGATTTGAACCAAACGGTCAATGAGGCTACTGATAATTTGACATTTGAGGTTGGCCTCTATGCTTAATTTGGGACAAAACAACAGCCAGGCAGGTCTCTTGCCTGATCTTTATTTAGTCTGAAACTCAAGGTGGTTCTTTCAAGGTTTTACTCATAGAGTAACCAGGTTACACCTGACACCAGGAAACCACAACATCACTGAATGTAACATCAGCTCAATCCCTTGTTGTTATTATAGCAATAACATCTGCTAAATATGTGTATGTGACCAATCACATTTTATTTGAACATTTGTTTTATTTGATTTAAAGCTTGTTAGTGGGAAACCATGTAGGTCTGTGGCAGTTATCACAAGCTTATCACTTCAGTCATATAAGCATGGACATAGTCTGATGATCAAGATTGGTTTCAATATTCAAGACAACCTCTAAACTCCTCTTCAGTTATAAATCATCAAACAACTTGAGATCAGTGACAGGGACTACTTACATTTTTAAGGGCAGGATACTTTCAATAGTTCAACATTAAAGTGAACTCATCGATTTATTTCTCAGCCATCACAGGGAAGCATTATGTTTAAACAACTTGGCTTTGCAGCATGTTGAGGCCTTGCCAACCCTGGCTGTATACACTGCCATCTTGTCATCTAACATGCATTCTCGCTGATTTCCTCTATATAAGGATTTCATGGGGCAAAGGGGCGTGTAGAGATAGAGTTTCGTTTTGAACCTACCTTCCAAATTGCCTTGAAGCATTCTCAAAAAACTTAGCTTTGGAAGCAACGCTGGAGAAAGAGAAAGACAGATTAATCCCTGATGATCGCTAAGACATGTTGGGCTTTACAGCACACCAAACACTCTTTTGGAGTACAATGACAAACATTATGGGCAACATTTTCTGCCCACTAAACAGCCCTAACAATGTGAAAATGGCATGTGACTTAGGATGTTACAAAACAAAACAGTAGTTTTTCAAATAGACTGGAGGGCACCTAATACAAAAGGAGTTTGGAACAGTGCAGCTTGTGATCTCATTACCTACATCTGTTGTGCACACTGTTTACTTGAGACTCACATACATTATTGCCATTATCTCATTTTAATTAGCTATCTTTTTTCATTCTCCTTCCTCCTGTCTTTGTACTTTTATTTTATTATTTTATGACGTGAAGCACTTTGTTACTTGTATTGAAAAGCGCTATAAAAAATAAAGTTCTTAATATTGTAAAATATAGCTTTGAGATGCATCAGAGAGCAAGTATTATGGGTAACACTTTTTCATTTGTGCATTTTAGCAGTGTTTAGTGGGCAGAAAATATCACCCTAAATATACACTGAGTATACCAAATATTGGGAACACCTTACTAATATTGAGTTGCACCCCCCATTTTGCCCTCAGAATAGCCTCAATTCGTTGGGGCATGGACTCTACAATGTGTTGAAAGTGTTCCACAGGGATGCTGGACCATGTTGACTCCAATGCTTCCCACAGTTGTGCCAAGTTGGCTGGATGTCCTTTGTGGTGGACCATTCTTGATACACATGGGAAACTGTTGAGCGTAAAAAACCCAGCAGCGTTGCAGTTCTTGACACAAACCGGTGCGCCTGGCACCTACTACCATACCCCGTTCAAAGGCACTTAAATATTTTGTCTTGCCAATTCACCCTCTGAATGGCAATACACAATCCATGTCTCAAGGCTTATAAATCCTTATTTAACCAGTCTCCTTCCCTTCATCTACACTGATTGAAGTGGATTTAACAAGTGACATCAAAAAGGGATCATAGCTTTCACCTGGATTCACCTGGTTAGTCTATGTCATGGAAAGAGCAGGTGTTCTTAATGTTTTGTATATTCAGTGTATTATGGCATCGCACTGCATACCCCTTGTAAAACAACAGGAGCAGGCATGAACAGAGTACAAGAAGGGTCATTGGTGAGTCGCTAATTGTAGGTTATTTTGTTGCTACAAATGTGATAGATTGACACCGACACTGAAATCACAGTGGGGAATATCTGAACAGACTAGTGAAAGAGTAAATTCTTTGACCTAAGCAAATAAACTGACTAAGACTTCATGCACACTCTGACTATATAATGCTTTCCAACTCAACTCCAAAACAGAACAACAAATTATTGGAGATTAGTAAACCAGACAGTTAGACAATGTGGGCAACAAGTGCAGCCAATGGAATTAGTATGGTGTGGAGGGTTCAAAACAGTACATTTAACAAGAGACTTACAAGGACTGGAGGAAGACCAAAAGGAAACTCATGGCTAACACAGCATTTTGTGATTGTTCTCTTGATTAAGATTTTAATCAGTCTGGATGGAATGTCTGGGTCTGGCTGAGTTCTACTCACTACGACGCCGGGGTTTCCTCGCTGGGGGCTGCAGTGGGGCTCTTGTGGGGTGCAGGGTATCGGCTAGGGGGGTCAGGGGGTCTGGTTGGAGGTCTGCAGATGGCAGGCTTCTCAGCCGGAGACCTCGTTTTGATCACGCCGTCACTTTCTGCTGCAATACAAGGAAGGAAAACCTTAGGGAAACTGTTGTAACAAAAGCTAACACAACCAAGAGCTAACACAATGAATGAAAATACACTTTCTACCTTCTTTTCTAATTGAACATGATATGGTATCAGTACCACAGACCAGCTAGGTACTGTACTGCTGCACTGTTGTTAAGCTGCGTATAAAATGCAGTCTAGAATTCATAGTGTGTTTGTGTAGGCTACAGATTGTTCTGATACCTTCTCTGATGACCGCAACATTTCGAGGAGGTGGTCTTCTGCCTTGGAAGGACTGTGCTCGGTTCACAGTGACTCCCGTCTCTCCATTGGCTGTTGCTGCTGTATCTGGCCTCTGACCTCCATCCGGTAGCTTAGCAACCAGTTTGGCGACGTCAGAGTCTGAGTGTCTGTCCTGGCGGATGGATGGCTTGGGCAGGAGGGCCTGCCTCTGAGGAGGGTCTCTAGGGAGCCGTGGAGGGGCAGTGATGGGTTTGGTCCTCTGGAGAGGTGTGGGGCTTGTTGGGGTGTCCCTGCCAGCATCCACCCCCTCTGGTCTGCTGCCATTCTGCCTACTGCCATTCTTCCCATCTATGAGACACAAACACAGGAACATTTTCAATCAACATACAAATAGAGTACAACACATTCAGTCCATGCATATCCCTGGATTACGTTCTTGTGGTTGGGTTTAATGGTTAAAGAATATGTAGATAATTCCCCACATAGTCGTAATGCAGAGGTTGCTGTTTTAACTGATTTTGAACTTGATATCATTACTTCTCCTGAGCTCCTACCTATCATGTGTAGTATACTTCTACTTACAGAATGTTGTCTATACATGTAGTATGAGTGACCGAAGCATATTTTACATATTAGAAAATGAATCATTAAAACCAATACAAAATAAATGAACCATTAAACAATATTATTTTAATTCATTCTTTATTTGTTTGTATTTGTTTATTTGGATCCCCATTAGCTTTTGTAGAAGCATCTGCTTCTCTTCCTGGGGTTCCTGGAGTATTATAAAATCAAGTCTAATGTTGGCATTTGGGCGGATGCATTTAATAATGGCAGAAAGCACAAAGCCTTTATAGTTAAATAAATGTGTGGATTAATAGTCTGTGAGCTGGAGAAAAATATAATGTTAATAGGAAAGAGGATTGTGTATAACAATGATCTATTCATCTAGGAGATTAAAAAGTAAACAGATGACTGTGTTGCACTCTGTTTCATCTGGAGTCATGCTGTTGGCCAGGTTTCCAGTGGTACATGCACTATTCAAACGCTGCGAGGGATTTAGACAGGTGGTAGTTAGTTGTCAAGCAAATCGGAACTGGTTATTTGGTAACTCCAAGGAGGAACTCAGAGAAGAGCGATAAATAAAATACCACACAATGAGGGGAGGACACGCTGCAAGTGTTCCACATCTTTCCATACCACAGTAAATGAAAGGACTGACTCACACACAGACATTTAACCCAAAGTTACAAGAGGTAAAAATTACATGATTTAGCCTGAAGCAATAACTTGCATTCAGTGAGCACGGCCTAAGCAAGATCTCCCACTGCCTCTCTTTAAGTGCAGTTAACAAAAACAATGAATGGTTAAACTTGGCTCAGGAGGAGGTCGTAGTAAGCCAACATCTGGATATGGCATTGGCCACTATGCAAAAAATGTAACGCTTATTGTTTCCAATTCAACAAAATGGCTCGATAAATTGTCCCATCGAAGAAGGGCATGCAATTAACATAAATATCAAACATTTAGAAAGAATAGTAAAAGTAAAGGCACATGCACTATTCTATTTTAGCAATTCACAACGAGTACTTAAGATTCACACACTCTCAGTAATACAGTGTCCAGAATAAACATCAGCCACCTACTGTATAAATCACCTTACACATACCAAGTGTACACTGTAATAATCCTAATATAATTATTTGCATTCACAGGACAAGGGATGGTAATGATAATAATGGTGATGGTGGTGGTGATAATGAGGATGATGATTAAACCAGAGGCTGATAATTACTCTCAGTGTTCTGGAGCTGGCCATAATTAACTGCTGGGTAGACGCGGGGCGTGCGCTTGGAGATGGTGATTGGTTGCCGTTTCCTTGGGGTAATCCTTGGAGGAGGCATGGGTGGGGCTGTGGAACTCTCCTCTGGCGCACTGCAGAAGATCTGTAATCACCCCAGCACGTCCAAAAGGACTTACATTATATAGACATTTAACTTGAGAATATTTATTTAATAGTATCTAGAATGTAGTGTACCATGGCATACTTGAATGTTTATGATGCCACAGTGCATTAAATAACAATCACATGGCTCTTGAGCTCTTTCCAATGGAGGAAAGGTAATGAAATCTTTCAAATTCACCTTGGTGTAGTCCTCGATGAGAATCTCAACAACAATGTTCTGGAACTTTATATCCAACATGGCTGCCACAGTCTCTTCCTCTGCCCTCATCAGGGTGGGGCCAAAGATCACGCCCATGTTGGAGGGAGTCATCAGGTTGTCCCCACTGTTGCTGCAGACACTGCCGACAGGAATCCAGACGGGTTTGTTAACAACTTTCTCTAAAGACATGTCCAATAGGAACAAACACCTCTCAAATAGGGAACAAGTTAATGCCAGTTAATGTCAATTTATAATTGCACAACTATTATAAATGCATTAACACGATATTGATGAAATACAATTATTATTTTAGGAGGATTGGACAGGTATTTTCCTGTTTAAATTTGCATTACTTTTACACTATGCATAGATGCATAGGGAATAGTCAGATTATGTACCCATCTGAACAGATGCCACTTAATCCCTTCACTGACGCATATGCAACACAACACCACAGAAATGCAAGTACACCACAATAAAAGGCCTAAATAAGCATAGCTTGTATAACTGCATCAGTTAGGATGCAAGGCACAGAGACTGCAGCACAACAGTGGCACATCATATCAGGTTAGCTCTTACTTGACCAGGTGTTGGATCAGTAGGCTTAGCATTTCTCGATTCTTCTCTGGGAGTTTGTATGTCAGGGAGTGGATTGCACCCAGTCGATCATCTAGACTATCCGATTCTAAGAAACAAGATACATATTTTTTTACATGAGCAATAACTGATATATTGTCCATAATTGAGATTGATCTAAACATAATAGGTCTCAATGTGAACATATTCATTGGTAATTAACACAATCAATATATATATATATATATATATATATATATATATATATATATATAGGGTGTTAATTGTATATGCATAGCCATTGTGCATGAGAAAGTTCATCAGCAAATCCTCATCCCAGTCAAAACATTTCAGGCGTCCAGTTCCACACCTGCTGCTGCATTGTGGTGTAATGTGAACCTCATACAGTTAAACAATAGGGCTCCTGGGGCATGGGAGCTTATCTCAGTTATGAGGATTAGAGCTGGTGTATAATATGTCATTACAATGGTTTTACCATTTAATTATGGCATGTTCAAACACAATATGATACTGTGGATCCAGTCTGTGGAGGAACAAAACAAAAGTACGTTATGAGGCAGGGGACTAGGATCTCCCGCAGGAGACCTGAATAAGATATCCAGAGGTAGGAACTTCTAATTGACTGGAAAGATCTAATAAAAGAAAATGCCTGATGCTATTATGTCCTTTTTCTTTGTTATTGCTTTTTGTCACAGGGAACACACAGATGGTGTGTGTGTGTATTTTCTTATTTTTTTTATAGAGAACCTTTTTTATGGGGATTTGAGTTTAGTTTACAGTACGAACAGAGAGTATGTTTTTTTTATTCAATTTTATAGCCGTAACCCAGCCTGTTGAACTCGAGTGAGCTCACTCTGATGGAGAACAAATGCACAATGAATTAACTGTCGAAAGAGCACTTGGAAGACATACGACAAGATGTGGAAGTAAACCACCTGTTGCTCAGCTCCCAAAGCCAACCTTTTAAATGATATTTTACATTCAAGTCATTTAGCAGACACTCTTATCCAGAGTGACAGTAGTGAGTACATACATTTTTGTATTTTTTTCATACTGGTCCCCCGTGGTAATCAAACCCACAACCCTGGCATTGCAAGCGCAATGCTCTACTAACTGAGCCACACGGGACTTGTACGATTCAAATGTACAGTATTGTCACCCAAAAAGGTGTCCTACAAAAACTTGCCCTCACATGAGAAGGAAATGTAAATGTTATGTGCCATGAGACTATCCTAAAGATCTATAAATCTGATCTACTACTGTCCATATTATGATAACAGAAATCCATCAGTTTAGTGGACTGGTGCAGTTTTTCTTTTTAAAATGTGTAAGCCATGTGCAAATAAAATGTTATCTGATCTTGAAGTCGGTCTGTGTAATTGTTTCTCCAAGTCATTGTTGTTTTTATGTCAGTAAGTGTGAAAACACATCTTACTTGCTGCTAAGATGAGGTCCCTGTTGAGACCGTAGGTCATCAGAGGCTCTGTTAGACTCCTGTGGATGAACACACGCAATCAAGTAAATAAGTACAGTACAAATACTCCAACACTCACATCATACCCTAACACTGCCTTTTAAATAACTGCTACTCATTTGTTGCTCATGCACTTTCAGCATCAACAAGTGCTACTCATTCTGAATGAATTTAAGAGTCCACTGCCAAAGGTCTCCTTATCAAAATGTTCCTTCCTAGTCTGAAATTAGATTTAACAGTGCAGTGTTAAGGCATGAGTGACCAAAGGCCTTCAGTAAGCCTTCAGGCAGCTGCCTGGCCTCCTCAAAGTGTGGAGAGACCACCTGTGAGTAAATCATCATGAGGGGTATTGGGCAGGATAAAAACCTGGCCTTGAAGACAAGAGGCCTTGTCACTGAGTACTTTAAGCAGCAAACAATTATACTAGGCTCATGGAGCAGAGAAACCTCTCATCCTTAGCCAGCATAGATGATCACAACTTTAATATGCAGTATCTCTAATCACAGCACATAACTTATTTCAAACATGGAATTATATTTACTTATAAAATATATAAAGAATATACAGTCTGGAAATGCCAGAGTGCTATTTATGTCTCTTTAAAATGTATCTGATTTAGAAGCTGAGTGCTAATGGGTATCAGAAAGCTTGGTGTAACATAATTCTATAGAACATGTTGTTCCACAGCAACTGGCTCTTGTATGTCACCTGCTGGATGATTTAAGACAGGGGTGTCAAACTCATTCCATGGTGGGCCTAGCGTCTGCAGGTTTTTGGTTTTTCCTTTCAATTAAGACCTAGACAACCAGGTGAGGGGAGTTTGTTACTAATTAGTGACCTTAACTCATCAATCAAGTATAAAGGAAGAGCCCACAGACACTCGGCCCTCCGTGGAATGAGTTTGACACGTGATTTAAAAGGACGGGAACACACCTGAGATAAAACTTCATGGCACTTGTGATGGTTTTAATGTCCCAGTCACTGCTGTGAAAATCCACATCCCCTGGGCATTTCTGGTCTACAGGGAGAGGAGGAAACCGATTAAAAACAAACAAGAAAATACAATTTTGAAGAGAGACAACAATTACAGGTTAAACTCAAATAAAGCATACTATTTAATGGCAAATAAACCTGGTAAACACCTCGCAGCCCTCACAAAACAGCAAACCAGTTATAATTTGAAAAGATAAGGATACATTTTTTTTTATTAGAAACAACACTATTAATAACAATTTTAAAAGCTTCTATGAAAATCTCTACAAATCTGAACTATATAACAGTTGGACAAATCCTACAGCCTTTTTAGACTCAATAACCTTGAAACAACCATCAGCAGATAGAAAAATAATAACTAAAAATGGAAAATCACCCAAGAAGAAATATTAGACACTGTTAAAACATTAGCTCAGAGAAAAGCACCAGGGACATCTTTCCCATATAATTGTATTTGATATTCTGGGACAAACTTGTGCCCCTATTTACTCAAATGACAACACACGTCACTCAATTCAGTGCTTCCGAGTTCCATGTATCAAATAGTTATTTCAGTTATTCTAAAACCAGGAAAATCTGGAGAGTCCCCTGCAGATTACAGACCCATTAATGTAATACATTGTGACAATATAGCAACAAAACTCATAAGCAACAGAATGGCAAAAGTATTACCAGACTTGAAACATATTAATCCAACAGGGTTTATTTAAAATAGACACTTACAAACAAAAACATGTTTCAGTATAATACAATACGCTAAAAAACTAGATTTATCAATAATGGCTGTTGATGCCGAAAATGCTTTTGACTGTCTTGAGTGGCTATTTCTATTCAAAACTTTGGAAGCCTTAAACTTTCCAGCTGAAATAATACATTGCATACAAACAGTATATAAATATCCTAAAGCAAAAACATACACAAATAATACATTATGTGATGAAATTACTTTAGAAAGTGGTACGAGACAGGGATGTCCTCTCTCCCCCCTCCTGTTTGCACTGGCAATTGAACCACTTGCAGAAATAATTAGACAGGACCCAAACGTAACAGGTATCAAATATAGGTAAACATGAATATAAACTAAACTAAATTTGCAGACGATCTCCTGATATACTTGACTAATATGGACATTTGTATGCACTCACTAACTGTAAGTCACTCTGGATAAGAGCGTCTGCTAAATGACATTTTAAAAAAAATCTATGCCCCCCTTGTTAAAAATATTTTCAGAATACTATCAAATCTCAGGATATAAAATTAACATGGAAAAAAATGGAAATAATGGCAATAGGAAAAAAATAAAAAATAACTGCAGCAAAAAAATATTAAATACTTAGGATACTTAAGTGACAACAAACAACAAATATATAAAGATAACTTTATCCCAGATCTAATTCAATTGAATACTCTCCCCATAAATCTAACAGGTAGAATAAACCTATTTAGAATGGCATGGCTCCCAAAGTTTGTATATTTACTCTCTGTAATACCAATTACCCCACCAAAGACATTCTTTGAAAAAGTATACTCAGCCATAACAGACTTCATATGGGCAAATAAAACTCAGAATAATTAGGAACGTTTTACATGTCCTTAAATTGGAGGGTGGTTTTAACCTTCCAGATTTGGAATTGTATCAACTCGTCACCCAAGGCTTTTACTTGCAACATATTGTTAAGTGCACTAAAGAGGAACAATGGTTACATATTGAAGATGCGCATGGTCATCCCCAGACTATTTTCACGTGTTTGTTTTCAAAGGATGGAGCCAAGAACATTAACAACTTCATAGTTAAGAACACTATAACATTGAAGAAAATGAAACAGATTCTACAAGAAACAATATCACTCCCTAAAAACACACCCATATGGAACAATCCTTGGATAGCTTTTCAGAATTCACAGATAAATGGGTCACATGGAAAACCAAAGCCATAGAAACCTTAACTGACGTGGTAATAGGAAATACAGGACAGAATTCAAAAGCAATTTTGGACTGACCAATGTAGACATTTTCAAAACATATGCAACTTAAACGTTTGGACATCAGAGAAATGTTGAGGGAATCCTATTTGAGTCAGAAAAATATACTCATATGACAGGTAAAATATACAAAATCTTGCAGAGCGCCTATCCAACTGATAATCTCTTAGATTTTTATTTTTTTATATTGGAACCAAGACTTAAAAATAACTGATATTGGCACAAGATGGAGGGCGTGTTGGAACATAACGAATGAAATTACAGTTAACGAAAATGTACGCTTAATCCAGTATAAACTAATATATAGAATGTATTATACAAGAGACAAAATTCACAAATTCTACATCACAACGGCAATCATGTCTTAAGTGTAACACTAACACTGGCTCAATAATTCATGCCTTCTGGGAGTGCTATAAAGTCCAAAAGTTATGGACAAAGTTAGAAAGGTGGCTGACAGAAGTTTTACAATGCAAGTTTACTTTTAATCCGTCTATCTGCATATTTCAAGAGATGGCATATGGGGGTGCGGTGAGATACCCAATGGGTTTGGACAATATTATAATTTTTTAAATATATTTTCGTCACCTACAGTGGGGAAAAAAAGTATTTAGTCAGCCACCAATTGTGCAAGTTCTCCCACTTAAAAAGATGAGAGAGGCCTGTCATTTTCATTCTAGGTACAAGTCAACTATGACAGACAAAATGAGAAAAAAAAATACAGAAAATCACATTGTAGGATTTTTAATGAATTTATTTGCAAATTATGGTGGAAAATAAGTATTTGGTCAATAACAAAAGTTTCTCAATACTTTGTTATATACCCTTTGTTGGCAATGACACAGGTCAAATGTTTTCTGTAAGTCTTCACAAGGTTTTCACACACTGTTGCTGGTATTTTGGCCCATTCCTCCATGCAGATCTCCTCTAGAGCAGTGATGTTTTGGGGCTGTCGCTGGGCAACACGGACTTTCAACTCCCTCCAAAGATTTTCTATGGGGTTGAGATCTGGAGACTGGCTAGGCCACTCCAGGACCTTGAAATGCTTCTTACGAAGCCACTCCTTCGTTGCACGGGCGGTGTGTTTGGGATCATTGTCATGCTGAAAGACCCAGTTACGTTTCATCTTCAATGCCCTTGCTGATGGAAGGAGGTTTTCACTCAAAATCTCACGATACATGGCCCCATTAATTCTTTCCTTTACACGGATCAGTCGTCCTGGTCCCTTTGCAGAAAAACAGCCCCAAAGCATGATGTTTCCACACCCATGCTTCACAGTAGGTATGATGCAACTCAGCATTCTTTGTCCTCCAAACACGACAAGTTGAGTTGTTACCAAAAAGTTATATTTTGGTTTCATCTGACCATATGACATTCTCCCAATCCTCTTCTGGATCATCCAAATGCACTCTAGCAAACTTCAGACGGTCCTGAACATGTACTGGCTTAAGCAGGGGGACACGTCTGGCACTGCAGGATTTGAGTCCCTGGCGGCGTAGTGTGTTACTGATGGTAGGCTTTGTTACTTTGGTCCCAGCTCTCTGCAGGTCATTCACTAGGTCCCCCCGTGTGGTTCTGGGATTTTTGCTCACCGTTCTTGTGATCATTTTGACCCCACGGGGTAGATCTTGCGTGGAGCCCCAGATCGAGGGAGATTATCAGTGGTCTTGTATGTCTTCCATTTCCTAATAATTGCTCCCACAGTTGATTTCTTCAAACCAAGCTGCTTACCTATTGCAGATTCAGTCTTCCCAGCCTGGTGCAGGTCTACAATTTTGTTTCTGGTGTCCTTTGACAGCTCTTTGGTCTTGGCCATAGTGGAGTTTGGAGTGTGACTGTTTGAGGTTCTGGACAGGTGTCTTTTATACCGATAACAAGTTCAAACAGGTGCCATTAATACAGGTAACGAGTGGAGGACAGAGGAGCCTCTTAAAGAAGAAGTTACAGGTCTGTGAGAGCCAGAAATCTTGCTTGTTTGTAGGTGACCAAATACTTATTTTCCACCATAATTTGCAAATAAATTCATAAAAAATCCTACAATGTGATTTTCTGGATTTTTTTTTCTCAATTTGTCTGTCATAGTTGACGTGTACCTATGATGAAAATTACAGGCCTCTCTCATCTTTTTAAGTGGGAGAACTTGCACAATTGGTGGCTGACTAAATACTTTTTTCCCCCACTGTATATTGAAGAAGCGATTACTTAAATACTCGAAGTCAAATGATACTCCAACGTTAAGAGAATGGAAGAATCAATTGCTTTATTATTTAAATCTTGAAAAGAATCTGGCTACAGACAGAAACAACATAACACAATTTGAAGTCATATGGGGAGGAGTCTTACAAGTATTAGAAACAACATTGGGTGTGGATACGGAAGGAACATGTGGGTCTGAGCAAGTGTGATGTCATTAATGTTTGTGGAAATGTATGTAAATATTAAGTTGTTTATTGTTTTTGCCTATGTAGACTTTTTCTTTTACATTTATTTTTTTTAATGGAGAAAAAAGTTTAATAAAATATTACAATACATTTTAGGCAGAAATGGTAAACCTTTTTTTTGCACGAGCCCTTGAAAACAACCTTGGAAACACGTTCTGATTAGAGTGTTACTTTTTTTGCTCAAGGTCACTGGCAAGTTAAATATCTGTGACTGTATTGGTGAATTAAAGTATTCATTTACTTTCTGAGTTTGTCTCAGATTATTTTATTTATCTTAAAAGGCAAGTAAATATAAAATGCCAGTCTCTTTTGCACTGTTTCCACAACAATAAAACCATTATGGAGGGCTGGATACAAGATTATGATATCAATACAAAATTATGATAAATTAAGCCTTGGCAATAGCATATAGGGACATTAGTTTAATATTGGAATAAATAAATGTTATATCCTGTCACAGTCATCTGCCTTAGGGGCAAGGGAATCACTTATAAACTAGTCCATAAATATGTATTTGGTGCTTTTTTAATATTGCTTCAAAACCTGCTGTGTGTTTGCCTGGCTACCCAAACTCCTTGCTCTGCCCAAATGCTACGCCACACCCTCGGACGTTACTTTGTTCTCCGCAGTGATACCCAAACTCCTTGCTCTGCCCAAATGCTACGCCACACCCTTGGACGTTACTTTGTTCTCCGCAGTGAGTCTGGATCTGTGTACCTTCCTGACGACTTCTAGAACGCAAACACATTCTAACCGTTCTGATTGGTCCCAGAAAAAACACTGGGTTGGGCCAGAGTCAGAACACACATGGGTAAAGCAGCGTTTAAAAAATGTGTCATTGGCTTTGATACTCTGATTGGTTAGAAATGATCCAATCGCTGAGGTTTTTATTTTGCACAACACCCCTCATTTTGACATCACCACAAATGACTTAAATGATGCCGGTCTCAGAATAATGTATGTAGCGAACATAAAGCAGTGGAAGGATTCAGTTTGAGTCGTCAGGCAAGCTGTGTGTGCTAGTGAAACAGGGAAATGTAACAGTTTAATCTCTGTATTGTGCTACAAACAGCCCCTCTGTTTTGTGCATTCTTCAATCCCAACTCAATAGAGGGAGAGAGCAGATGTTGACATGGTCATTTCCTCACCAAAGAAAGCATTTAAAAGCTTCTGCACTTGGATGTTACTGCCAACAGTTCTGTATACTCCTTCTTGTGTGAGTCCTGTAAAAGAGAGGAGAAGGAGAGAGTGGGTGGGTGGGGTTTAGGTAAAAGGCAATAAAAGGGGAGTTACCTCCAGAGAAATTCAGAGCAGTGGAAATGTACAGGCTGTTCCTCAGCGCAGGCCTGTATCAACTGGAATGAAAATAGGGACGTAGCAGACAACGCCTTGACAACACTAGCCTACTTCCCAGCCTCTTCCAAATGAATGATTTGCTTTACTGCTCCAGTGAACGGCTGGAGTTTATGTTATCATACGAGGCCTGCATATCTTACTGGTTGTGAAACATACGAGTATTTCATGTACACTACCGGTCAGAAGTTTTAGAACACCTACTCATTCAAGGGTTTTTCTTTATTTTTACTATTATTCTACATTGTAGAATAATAGTGAAGACATCAAAACTATTAAATAACACATATGGAATCATGTAGTAACCAAAAAAAGTGTTAAACAAATTAAAATATATTTTATATTTGAGATTCTTCAAAGTAGCCACCCTTTGCCTTGATGACAGCTTTGCACACTCTTGGCATTCTCTCAACCAGCTTCACCTGGAATGCGTTTCCAACAGTCTTGAAGGAGTTCCCACATATGCTGAGCACTTGTTGGCTGCTTTTCCTTCACTCTGCAGTCCGACTCATCCCAAACCGTCTCAATTTGGTTGAAGTCGGAGGGATTGTGGAGGCCAGGTCATCTGATGCAGCATTCCATCACTCTCCTTCTTGGTAAAATAGCCCTTACACAGCCTGGAGGTGTGTTGGGTCATTGTCCTGTTGAAAAACAAATGATAGTCCCACTAAGCCAAAACCAGATGGGATAGCGTATTGCTGCAGAATGCTGTGGTAGCTATGCTGGTTAAGTATGCCTTGAATTCTAAATAAATCACAGACAGTGTCACCAGCAAAGCACCCCCACACCATAACACCTCCTCCTCCATGCTTTACGGTGGGAAATACACATGCGGAGATCATCTGTTCACCCACACCACGTCTCACAAAGACAGGTCGGTTGGAACGAAAAATCTCCAATTTGGACTCCAGACCAAAGGACACATTTCCACCTGTCCAATGTCCATTGCTCGTGTTTCTTGGCCCAAGCAAGTCTCTTCTTCTTATTGGTGTCCTTTAGTAGTGGTTTCTTTGCAGCAATTCAACCATGAAGGCTTGATTCACACAGTCACTTCTGAACAGTTGATGTTGAGATTTGTCTGTTACTTGAACTCTGTGAAGCATTTATTTGGGCTGCAATTTCTAAGGCTGGTAACTCTAATGAACTTATCCTCTGCAGCAGAGGTAACTCTGGGTCTTCCATTCCTGTGGCGGTCCTCATGAGAGCCAGTTTCATCATAGCGCTTGATGGTTTTTGCGACTACACTTCAAGAAACTTTGAAAGTTCTTGACATTTTCTGTATTGACTGACCTTCATGTCTTAAAGTAATGATGGACTGTCGTTTCTCTTTGCTTATTTGAGCTGTTCTTGCCATAATATGGACTTGGTCTTTTACCAAATAGGGCTATCTTCTGTATACCCCCCTACCTTGTCACAACACAACTGATTGGCTAAAACGCATTAAGAAGGAAAGAAATTCCACAAATTAACTTTTAAGAAGGTACCTGTTAATTGAAATGCATTCCAGGTGACTACCTAATTTTGCTGGTTGAGATTATTCCAAGAGTGTGCAAAGCTGTCAAGGCAAAGGGTGGCTATTTGAAGAATCTCAAATATAAAATATATTTTGATTTGTTTAACACTTTTTTGGTTACTACATGATTCCATATGTGTTATTTCATAGTTTTGATGTCTTCACTATTATTCTACAATGTAGAACATAGTAAAAATAAAGAAAAACCCTTGAATGAGTAGGTGTTCTAAAACTTATGACCGGTAGTGTATGTATAATGTGTAATGTATGCCATTTAGCAGATGCTTTTATCCAAAGAGACATAGTCATGCATGCATACATTTGAAGCATGGTTGGCCCCGAGAATCGAACCCACAATCCTGGCTTTGCAAGCACCATGCTCAACCAACTAAACCATAAAGGACTATACAGATTCATCAAACTCGTAAATAAATTGGAAGAGTGAATTAGGGAGGGCTGAAGTGAGAAGGCCCATGGAATCTAAAGAATTTGAGCTGCTTGAGAAATAAGAGCTGTTGAATGTGCCCACACATTTAACAGTCTTCTGATGCCACATGGTAATATACTCTCTCTGGAGTAATAGCTTTGTTGCCTACTTCGTGGCATGATTCTTAATAAGCTATGTACAGTGGGGAGAACAAGTATTTGATACACTGCCGATTTTGCAGGTTTTCCTACTTACAAAGCATGTAGAGGTCTGTAATTTTTATCATAGGTTCACTTCAACTGTGAGAGACGGAATCTAAAACAAAAATCCAGAAAATCACATTGTATGATTTTTAAGTAATTCATTTGCATTTTATTGCATGACATAAGTATTTGATCACCTACCAACCAGTAAGAATTCCGGCTCTCACAGACCTGTTAGTTTTTCTTTAAGAAGCCCTCCTGTTCTCCACTCATTACCTGTATTAACTGCACCTGTTTGAACTCGTTACCTGTATAAAAGACACCTGTCCACACACTCAATCAAACAGACTCCAACCTCTCCACAATGGCCAACACCAGAGAGCTGTGTAAGGACATCAGGGATACAATTGTAGACCTGCACAAGGCTGGGATGGGCTACAGGACAATAGGCAAGCAGCTTGGTGAGAAGGCAACAACTGTTGGCGCAATTATTAGAAAATGGAAGAAGTTCAAGATGACGGTCAATCACCCTCGGTCTGGGGCTCCATGCAAGATCTCACCTCGTGGGGCATCAATGATCATGAGGAAGGTGAGGGATCAGCCCAGAACTACACGGCAGGACCTGGTCAATGACCTGAAGAGAGCTGGGACCACAGTCTCAAAGAAAACCATTAGTAACACACTACGCCGTCATGGATTAAAATCCTGCAGCGCACGCAAGGTCCCCCTGCTCAAGCCAGCGCATGTCCAGGCCTGTCTGAAGTTTGCCAATGACCATCTGGATGATCCAGAGGAGGAATGGGAGAAGGTCATGTGGTCTGATGAGACAAAAATAGAGCTTTTTGGTCTAAACTCCACTCGCCGTGTTTGGAGGAAGAAGAAGGATGAGTACAACCCCAAGAACACCATCCCAACCATAAAGCGTGGAGGTGGAAACATCATTCTTTGGGGATGCTTTTCTGCAAAGGGGACAGGACGACTGCACCGTATTGAGGGGAGGATGGATGGGGCCATGTATCGCGAGATCTTGGCCAACAACCTCCTTCCCTCAGTAAGAGCATTGAAGATGGGTCGTGGCTGGGTCTTCCAGCATGACAACGACCCGAAACACACAGCCAGGGCAACTAAGGAGTGGCTCCGTAAGAAGCATCTCAAGGTCCTGGAGTGGCCTAGCCAGTCTCCAGACCTAAACCCAATAGAAAATCTTTGGAGGGAGCTGAAAGTCTGTATTGCCCAGCGACAGCCCCGAAACTTGAAGGATCTGGAGAAGGTCTGTATGGAGGAGTGGGCCAAAATCCCTGCTGCAGTGTGTGCAAACCTGGTCAAGACCTACAGGAAACGTATGATCTCTGTAATTGCAAATAAAGGTTTCTGTACCAAATATTAAGTTCTGCTTTTCTGATGTATCAAATACTTACGTCATGCAATAAAATGCAAATGAATTACTTAAAAATCATACAATGTGATTTTCTGGATTTTTGTTTTTCACAGTTGAAGTGTACCTATGATAAAAATTACAGACCTCTACATGCTTTGTAAGTAGGAAAACCTGAAAAATCGGCAGTGTATCAAATACTTGTTCTCCCCACTGTATAGTACTGGTGCGTTATTATTAGTTATATTGCTGTAAACAAAGTAAAACTGCTCATTTAGTATGTACTGAAGTGCTCTACTATAAGGACATTTATTGTGGTGAGCTAAATGGCAAAGTTATACTTTCCTGGCTGGATGTCATATTGCAGCCGTTGTGTTTTTATTTACTGCTGGCCTCTGGTGAGAAAGTTAATTTAGGATAGCAGTGAGGCTTTAGAGTCTCTCATTCCAAACACAACTCATCTCTGCCCTCTAACGGGCAATATGGAAAACTGACTAGACTATGACAAAACCGGCATGAAATCCGATAGGCGGCATACAAAGACAAAACACATGGTATGGACTAGAACTTTCTGGTTACTTTACCTTTAGTTTCAACGAAGTTGATGCATTTTCTTACAAACTTGAATCCAACTTCATTCAATTCCACTGTGGAAGACAAGTAACATATAACAGATTTCACAAGCAGTGGAACGACAAACAAATGTGTCTGTATGGATGGTCAGTGAGATTAATACGGTTTAATTATACTGCAGTAAAAAACAACAAAAATGAACACTGGTAATGGTACATACTTTCAGCTTGCTTGTGAATTGGGGAATGATAAATCTGGAATGAAAGGACAATGTAAGACACCAAAAAACTGTAATATCTGTGGAGCTTTCTGTGGCCATCCTAAAAAATAACCCTCAATATATGATATCATTATAAAGAGATGCCACTTTATTATCATATTGTTTAACAAAACCAAAGTAAAACAGCAAGATTAGGACTATAAAACACAATGCCTTTAAAGTACACCAGTAAAGGAACTCACAGGCTCTTTTCCATCCATGGCCTCCATCCACAACTTCCTGTTGGCCTCCGAAACAGCCTGGAGTGTGACAGGTATGTTTCTATGGTGATCAGAACAAGTGTCACAGTTAGGGCATAGACAATATTGCATTTGTTTGACTATATTTTTGTATTGGCTGGTGTCTGAGCTCCCTTCTTTTTGTTTAGTTTATTCATTTGACCATTACAACAACAACAAAAAGCACACATAAAACTTGAAAAAGCCATATTTGCACATTAGTAAAACCATTGAGGATAACACACAAAGTCTGGGACTTATTTCCATTGTGGTCCCTCTGTCTGATATGAAATGTCAGTGTATGGCTTGCGTCCCTCTGCTGTAAATATTGTACAGAATGCCTTGCATGTATAAATATGAGTTCATGGTGTTCCCTTCCCCTGAAATCACAGAGTTTGCCATCTGCTTCCAGCAGGAAGTAGAGGAGCCTGCTGCCAACTGATTGTTTGGGCTAGAATCCACTCTGTACACACACACACTCAGCGTCCTTGTAGACCACCTGTTCACCTCACTGCTCAAACTTGTTTATACCACAAGGCATGTACAGTATGATCTTATACGAAGTCTACCTCATCTCAAAGTCTCAAAGTGGCGTGTTTGTACTAACCTCTCGTAAGTTTCAATATCAAAGCAGAAGCGCTTGTCTATGGACTCTGTCTTTCGGCGGAAGCAGGATTTAAGCTTCAGCTCTGTGGGGCCCTGGAAGAAAGCATGACAGTGTGTGGGTAAAATGATGGGGAGAGAGGCCTAGAGAGATAATCTCTACATTACAGCTTTGGAGAAAGTTAAATAAAAACAAAATATATGAGCGCATGAGCATTTGAATAATTCCATTGACTTAAACAAAATATCAGAGATGCGACAAATAGTTGTTAAAGTGTCTAATAAAGATTATATGACTAATTTTATGACCTACCTGTTTGGTTGCAGGTTTTGGTTCAGCAGGGACCATGACAAACAGCTTGCTGTCTTTGTGATACTTGCAGTAGTACTTCACCCATGACACACCCAAGGCCCCTGGGAGAGCAGGGTGATAGGATATCATGTCAGGGCTTATCCAATACACGTTGAGAGGAATATAGTAGGTTCGTTCCACCAATTCGGTGCCTTTTGAGAAGTGTAACTTGGTTGAAATTTTAAAAATTCTGTCATAATGAGCGCATGTTAAACCTCTTAAAAAAACACATTTTCCAATCTCAAGATATAATAATACTATAGTAAGTGCCTATATAGAGCCAAATAAAGTAACAGGGTTGATGATTTCTTCTTAAATCAGCCATAAATGTCCCTGTGACAGGGGGAATGGAAGCTTGTTGTGTGCAACAACAAGTGGCAATTGAATGCAAAAGAATAACTAAAAATGAAATCGTTAAACCATTTCTAGCCTGTCTATCTATGGGTAACAGGGTTGACGTGTTATGCTCGACTTGCTCAGTTTTCCACCACAAAACACCAGAAAATGGCCAAAAAGTGTATAACTAGCTCACCTGCTTTTACTCTATGATTTGACTATTAAATGTTCAATGTATCTTTTTTGGGGTTCTTTTTTTAAAGGAATAGTTTCACCTTATTAAAATGAGAGTTCAGTTCAAGTAACAGGGTTGACCTTAAAATGAGGGACAGACATAAATGAATCACTAAATCACCTGAAATAAATAATAATATTCAGAAATGACTTTGTCAAAGCAACAAAATAGCTAGGGCTTTACAATGATGGTGAAAGCTGTAATGTAGGGATTAAGTGAGTTAAGATCTTTCTAGAAGTGACATAGGGTTGATGGAGGGAAATGTCTTTATTAATATAGCAAATCTGACTGATGGAATTTTCCATGTGGTCTATATTAAAGGGGACTTAATTTAATATAACAGGCTTTTAAAATGCAATATTGGTGCTCAATTTCTACTTAAAATATCAATGGACGCAAAAGGCACTCATTTCATGGGACGACACAGCAGGTTTACAAACAAACTGTAACATGCATTCTTACACTTCTCCTGAGAGTACAGGTAGCCCTCAATGGTTGGCTGGCCGTGCATTTTGCCGATCTGGGTTGGATGCTTCATTCTCTTCATCAGCTCCTCCATCTCCTCACGAGTGCTCTCAAAGTGGTTCCGCGTCTGCAGATCACAGCAAAACAGTCCATGTTGGATGGTTATAAGAAAGCCCTATTACCGCTTCCTGAAGTCCTAACCAGACCCATCACCACCATTACCATCTATCGCCACCATTATTAGGCATCATCATTGAGTCTCATTATATTAATGTTGTCATTATCATCGGTAGCTACTCACATTCTGCAAGCTAAGCTGCAGCTCCTGCTTATAGGGCATGAAGTCCTGAGTCATCTCCACCGTCAGGTTGTTGAGTGTTAGGATACTGTGAAGAAATGCCAGCACCTGTCCATTGAAAACAATGCAACATACAAGTAATTATTAGTATATTGATAATCATTCAGAAATGGTCCTGTCACTATATTCTTCTAATGGGCAAATGTATTTCATAATACTTAAATGAAGTGAAGTGTAAGAGTTCACCTCATTACTAGCCTTGGGTACCAGATTTCTACTCTCATAGCTGTTCAAAGACTGTTCTCCACACTCACTCATACTATACAGTACTCTAACACTAACCTATTTCTACTCTAGCCATTGGTTTCAATGAGAAATCAATGCGATTGTGAGTAATTGTTTCCTAGTGCCAGGCTAGACTTGCCTTCCTTAATGTGAAGTGGTGTTCAGAGGTAATTATAGTTAGTGCAGGATGTGGACTATTAATCCACTGTGGCCGTATCATATAATAGGTTACACAGGCCGCATCTTTAGGCTTGTGTGTGTATGGATATCCATGCAGCAACACAGGGAGGTGTAAACAGGAAGTGTGGGAGACGGAGAGGAAGAAAGCACTTACAGGCTCCACCACATCAAACTTCTTTCTGTCCTGCACCTGCTGGATCTGGTACACATACTCCACTGACGACTCATAGAAGTTCAGCCTCTCTTTGTCCAGCAGCTCGTCAGCCTGTGGAGGAATCAAATGGTGATTACAAAAGCAGCTTATTTCCGATTAGTCTTCATATTTGTTGTTATTAGCTAATCTTTAAGCCGTTGAGCTTGAGCCAGTTGAGTTATCCAATTAGGGAGAATTATAATATAATAAATACATTTTACAAACAACAAAACTTCAAATCCCTTCAGAGTTCCATTGAACTCTTTACAGGAAGCATCTGTTGTGAGGGATTTCCACCAACCTCCTGCAGCTGAGTTTCCTTCTTCTTAGCAGACAAATTCAGATGTTTATCTAACTGAGAGTAATATTTTTCGCTCTCTTTCTCAAACTTCTTCCTTCTTTCCTAAAAGACAGAAGTTTAGTAAATTAATTACACCATAATTCAACAAAACATTTAAAATGTTTCTTTCAGTGTGAGACTTCATCATGAGTCAAGAAGAATAATAGCAAGATCTTAATGTCATAATCGTAACAGTTTATACATGCACATGTTGCTCCACACAGCCATAACTGGCCTTGATCTGTTGAGATCAGTGTTTCCCAATCCCCTCCTGGGGGACCACAAAACAGTCCACATTTTTGTTCTAGCCTTGCACTGAGCCCTTACACATGTGATTCAACAAGGGCTTGGTTATTAGTTGATTAGTTGAATCAGGTGTTAGTGCAGGGCTATAACAAAACTGTGGACTGTCTGGAGGTCCCCCAGGACAGAGTTGGGGAACCCTGGTGTACATAGTCCTGCCAACACGTTTGGAAGGCATAGCATTTGTTTAAGATAATGTCTCAGCTGAGGTCATCTGTAGTTGATTATGGATGCCAAAGCACTCCAGTCCACAACCCATTTTGGACTAGAACATAGCTGCCTTGGCAAAGGGGACATAGACACAAAGGTTGAGTTGGAGAAAGGGAAGCTAACACTTTTTGAAAGCAAATTCCATGTATTACCTACAAACACTGAGCCTAATACAGTACGTGCTAGATAGATCTCAAATCAATTGTAGTCAAAAGTAGGTCAACAGACCAAGGGTATGTGAAAAATGGATATCCAGTCCAGAACCACTAGCCAGCTCCAGTTTTCCATAGGCAGCTTTCAAAAACTCAGTTGATTTATTTATCCCTGGCTTAGCGATTATACAGTGGGGAAAAAAAGTATTTAGTCAGCCACCAATTGTGCAAGTTCTCCCACTTAAAAAGATGAGAGAGGCCTGTAATTTTCATCATAGGTACACGTCAACTATGACAGACAAATTGAGGAAAAAAAATCCAGAAAATCCCATTGTAGGATTTTTAATGAATTTATTTGCAAATTATGGTGGAAAATAAGTATTTGGTCACCTACAAACAAGCAAGATTTCTGGCTCTCACAGACCTGTAACTTCTTCTTTAAGAGGCTCCTCTGTCCTCCACTCGTTACCTGTATTAATGGCACCTGTTTGAACTTGTTATCAGTATAAAAGACACCTGTCCACAACCTCAAACAGTCACACTCCAAACTCCACAATGGCCAAGACCAAAGAGCTGTCAAAGGACACCAAAAACAAAATTGTAGACCTGCACCAGGCTGGGAAGACTGAATCTGCAATAGGTAAGCAGCTTGGTTTGAAGAAATCAACTGTGGGAGCAATTATTAGGAAATGGAAGACATACAAGACCACTGATAATCTCCCTCGATCTGGGGCTCCACGCAAGATCTCACCCCGTGGGGTCAAAATGATCACAAGAACGGTGAGCAAAAATCCCAGAACCACACGGGGGGACCTAGTGAATGACCTGCAGAGAGCTGGGACCAAAGTAACAAAGCCTACCATCAGTAACACACTACGCCGCCAGGGACTCAAATCCTGCAGTGCGAGACGTGTCCCCCTGCTTAAGCCAGTACATGTCCAGGCCCGTCTGAAGTGCATTTGGATGATCCAGAAGAGGATTGGGAGAATGTCATATGGTCAGATGAAACCAAAATATAACTTTTTGGTAAAAACTCAACTCGTCATGTTTGGAGGACAAAGAATGCTGAGTTGCATCCAAAGAACACCATACCTACTGTGAAGCATGGGGTTGGAAACATCATGTTTTGGGGCTGTTTTTCTGCAAAGGGACCAGGACGACTGATCCGTGTAAAGGAAAGAATGAATGGGGCCATGTATCGTGAGATTTTGAGTGAAACCCTCCTTCCATCAGCAAGGGCATTGAAGATGAAACGTGGCTGGGTCTTTCAGCATGACAATGATCCCAAACACACCGCCCGGGCAACGAAGGAGTGGCTTAGTAAGAAGTATTTCAAGGTCCTGGAGTGGCCTAGCCAGTCTCCAGATCTCAACCCCATAGAAAATCTTTGGAGGGAGTTGAAAGTCTGTGTTGCCCAGCGACAGCCCCAAAACATCACTGCTCTAGAGGAGATCTGCATGGAGGAATGGGCCAAAATACCAGCAACAGTGTGTGAAAACCTTGTGAAGACTTACAGAAAACGTTTGACCTGTGTCATTGCCAACAAAGGGTATATAACAAATTATTGAGAAACTTTTGTTATTGACCAAATACTTATTTTCCACCATCATATGCCAATAAATTCATAAAAAATCCTACAATGTGATTTTCTGGATTTTTTTTTCTCATTTTGTCTGTCATAGTTGACGTTTACCTATGATGAAAATTACAGGCCTCTCTCATCTTTTTAAGTGGGAGAACTTGCACAATTGGTGGCTGACTAAATACTTTTTTCCCCCACTGTACATTTTCCACTGAACTTTCCACTGTTTCTACATGTAGTCCAACACTAGTGGTGTTACTACACCCCATCTACTGACTTATTTAGTCACAATCTAAAGGTTCAATTCAATCAACCTGCATTGCAGTATGAGCAAGCATAGAACTAGTACATTTGAATAGTCTTTGCAATGGTAAAAAAGTTTACAGTTGATCAACTGGGGCAGTTTATGGGGGCACTGGGTAGGTATAATAAATATTTTAAAAATGGAGTTTGACTGAACGCCTCGCTGAATAAGAAGGCTGGTGTCATGGTGAGCATCCCGCTGAATAGTTGTTAAAGTGTCTAAGCAAATCTGGAGGAGATGGAGAAGGGGGCCAGTGTCATCTCAGCAACACGAGTGTGGTTTATATGCACTGCCAAAACGCAGATCCTCTTTTCTCCCATCAAGTGCACACACTTGTTATAATGAAAGAGTGCTGCTTCAGCACATTAACGTTTAATAGAAAGTGAGTATAATCAACAATCTAATCCAACAACCTATAATTGTAAAATGTACATACTGAAGTATCCATCACCCTAAATAAATTAATAAAAAGCTCTATATGAACTCACTTTTGTCACTCCTATTTGCTCCTTGCGAAACTTCTCCAGTGGCTTGATAAGCAGATCACAAGCATTCTGAACCTGAACCAGGAAAAAAACATAAAACAGTGAATGACAGATATTTACAGTGCCCTCCTTAATCATTGTGAGAATTAAGCATTTTTTTCCTCTTTTGGCTCTATACTCCAAAAATGTGTATTTGAAATCAAACAACGGCTGAACCGTTTTGGAATTACAGCACTTCTTGTACATTGTCCTCCCATTTTAGGGCACCAAAAGTATTGGGACAAATTCATTTATATGTGTATTAAAGTAGTCAAAAGTTTAGTATTTGGTCCCATATTCCTAGCATGCAATGATTACACCAAGCTTGTGACTCTACAAACTTGTTGGATGCATTTGCTATTTGTTTTGGTTGTGTTTCAGATTATCTTGTTCCCAGTAGAAATTAACGGTAAATAATGTAGTGTCATTTTGGAGTCACTTTTATTGTCAATAAAACACTTCTACATTAATGTGGATGCTATCATGATTATGCATAGTCCTGAATGAATAGTGAATAAAGATTAATTAAAAAGTTAGACGCACAAATATCATACCCCAAAGACATGCTAACCTCTCACCATTACAATAACATGGGAGGTTAGCATTTTTTGGGGGGGTATGATATATGTGCGTCTAACTTTCTCACTCATCATTATTCACGATACATTCAGGACTATCCGTAATCATGGTAGCATGCAAATTAATGTAGAAGTATTTAGAAACATATATTCTTATTTACAATAACATCCTGTAGCTCAGTTGGTAGAGCATGGCGCCTGCAACGCCAGGGTTGTGGGTTCGTTTCCCACGGGGGGCCAGTATTAAAGATGTATGTACTCACTAAATGTATGTCGCTCTGGATAAGAGCATCTGCTAAATGACAAACATTGAATCCAAAATAACACAATACATTATTTCCATTCATTTATATTGGTCACAAAATAATCTGAAACACAACCAAAACAAACAGCAAACGCATCCAACAAGTTTGTAGTCACAAGCTTGATGTAATCATTGAGTGCTAGGAATATGGAACCAAATACTAAAAATGTTTAATACTTTAACACACATAAGTGAATTTGTCCCAATACTTTTGTTCCCCTAAAATGGGGGACTATGTACAAAAAGTGCTGTAATTTCTAAACGGTTCACCCAATATGGATGAAAATAACCCTACAATTAAAAGCTGGCAGGTCTGCACTATAACCTCATAGTCATTCAAATACAAAAGTGCTGGAGTACAGAGCCAAAATAATACAAAATGCTTCACTGTCCCAATAATTACGGAGAGCACTGTATGTTCTGGCTGAAAAGATTTGGGATGGGCCCAAAATGTTCTACAGCTGCAACATCGAGAGCATCTTGACTGGCTGCATTATCACTTGGTATGGCAAATGCACAGCTCTCGACCGCAACACACTACAGAGGAATGTGGTCCTCTGTAGCTCAATTGGTAGAGCATGGCGCTTGTAACGCCATGGTAGTGGGTTCGATCCCCGGGACCACCCATATGTAAAAATGTATGCACACATGACTGTAAGTCGCTTTGGATAAAAGCGTCTGCTAAATGGCATATTATTATTATTATATTAGGAAGACCCGAAAAATGTACAAAGACACCAGCCTCTCAAGCCATAGACTGTTCACTCTGCTACCATCCAGCAAACGGTACCGGAGCATCAGCTCTCGGACCAACAAGCCCAGAAACAGCTTCTACACCCAAGCCAGAAGACTGCTAAATAGTGACAAGACTGATAAATAGTTAACTAAATGGTTACAGAGACTATCTGCACTGACCATATCTTTCTCTGACTACGGACACTAACAAGACTATGTGCATTCGGAAAGTATTCAGACCCCTAGACTTTTTCTACATTTTGTTACGTTACAGCCTTATTCTAAAATTGATTAAATAGTTTTTTCCCCTCAATCTACACACAACACACCATAATGACAAAGCAAAAACAGGTTTTTAGGAATTTTAGCAAATGTATTGAAAATAAAGTGAAAAATAACATTTACATAAGTATTCACAGCTTTTACTCAGTACTTTGTTGAAGCACCTTTGGCAGCGATTACAGCCTTGAGTCTTCTTGGTTATGACGCTACAAGCTTGGCACACCTGTATTTGGGGAGTTTCTCCCATTCTTCTCTGCAGATCCTCTCAAGCTCTGTCAGGTTGGATGGGGAGCGTCGCTGCACAGCTATTTTCAGGTCTCTCCAGAGACTGTAGCTCAGTTGGTAGAGCATGGTGCTTGCAACGCCAGGGTTGTGGGTTCGTTTCCCACGGGGGGCCAGTATGAAAATGTATGCACTCACTAACTGTAAGTCGCTCTGGATAAGAGCGTCTGCTAAATGACTAAAATGAAAAATGTAAAATGTTCTATTGGGTTGAAGTCCGGGCTCTGGCTGGACAACTGAAGTACATTCAGAGACTTGTCCTGAAGCCACTCCTGCATTTTCTTGGCTGTGTGCTTAGGGTCATTTTCCTGTTGGAATGTGAACCTTCGCCCCAGTCTGACGTCCTGAACGCTCTGGAGCAGGTTTTCGTCAAGGATCTCTGTACTTTGCTCTGTTCATGTTTCCCTTAATCCTGACTAGTCTCCCAGTCCCTGCCACTGAAAAACATCCCCACGGTATGATGCTGCCACCACCATGCTTCACCGTAGGGATGGTGCCAGGTTTCCTCCCGATGTGACGCTTGGCATTCAGGCCAAAGAGTTCAATCTTAATTTCATCAGACCAGAGAATCTTGTTAGCCCTCTTGGAGTTTGCCAAAATGCACCTGTCATGCTTTTTACTGAGGAGTGGCTTCCGTCTGGCCACTCTATCATAAAAGCATGATTGGTGGAGTGCTGTAGAGATGGTTGTCCTTCTGGAAGGTTCTCCCATCTCCACAGAGGAACTCTAGAGCTCTGTCAGAGTGACAATCGGTTTCTTGGTCACCTCCCTGACCAAGGCCCTTCGCCCCCGTTTGCTCAGTTTGGCCGGGCAGCCAGCTCTAGGAAGAGTCATGGTGGTTCTAAACTTCTTCCATTTAAGAATGATGGAGGCAACTGTGTTCTTGGGGACATTCAATGCTGCAGACATTTTTTGGTACCCTTCCCCAGATCTGTGCCTCGACACATTCCTGTCTCGGAGCTCTACGGACAATTACTTCGACCACATGGCTTGGTTTTTGCTCTGACATGCACTGTCAACTGTGGGACCTTATATAGACAGGTGTGTGCCTTTCCAAATCATGCCCAATCAATTGAATTTAACACAGGTGGACTCCAATCAAGTTGTAGAAACATCTCAAGGATGATCAATGGAAACAGGATGCAACTGTTTGTAAATAAGGTATCTGTTTTTATTTCTAATACATTTGCAAAAATGTCTAAACCTGTTTTCACTTTGTCATTATGGGGTATTGTGTGTAGATTGATGAGGAAAAAACGAAATGTAATCAATTTTATTATAAGGCTGTAATGTAACAAAATGTGGAGAAAGGGAAGGGGATCTTAATTCTTTCCGAATGCACACACACTCACCTCACATACTACACTGACTCGCACACAAAACCCACACACATTCACATACACACACAACGGCAACACACATACGCAGTTTTACACTCATCATATGCTGCTGGTACCCTGTTCTTTATTTTACTCTTATTATTATCCATCCTGATGTCACTTTACCCCGCCTTCATGTACATATCTTCCTCAAATACCTCGTACCCCTGCACATTGATCTGGTACTCTCGGTATAGCTCCATTCTTGTGTATTTTACTCCTATTTTTCTTTTATATTGATTTTTTAACTCTGCATCGCTGGGAAGGGCTCGTAAGCAAGCATTTCACGGTAAAGTCTACACCCGTTGTATTGAGCGCAAGTGACAAATACAATTTTATTTCACCATTTGGCAAAAAAAAATCATGCATTACATTACAAAGTTATGATAAGAATGTGTGAAAAGGGGAAACAAGAAACTATAAGCCTAGAAATAAAACAAATAAACAGTCAGTTATCTTGCACTCCAGCAGGTGTTGCTCTTCTTCCCCTCAAAAAGAAAGAGCATCAGCTGTAATCAGAGAGAAGCTGTGTTTAAAAACATCCTAAAAGCTTCCTGAAAGCCCAGTCTAACAGGATCTGCCGCTTTTCACTGCACACTGATAATGCAGTGTCATGACATAATTATTTCTATAGCACAAAGCCCAGAGTTCACTCCAGGGCCTAGACTTTCACTACTTTTTAATCTGGATCAGAATGATCCGGGTTCTGTAATCTTATTTTTTGCAATCCAGGATCAGATCGATCTGACTGTTATTTTTTTATAAAATCGGACAGGATCATTCTGATCCAGATATCACAATATCAAGATCACAGAATCCAGATTTTCAGCGCTTTGAACAGTCCTACACCTTGCCATAGTGGACAGGTTGTGGTACTACTTCTACACGGTCATAGGGAAACAGATATGAGTAAACTACATGAATAAAGGTACCCAGATTGAAAATAGAGCCTGCCTGCATATCACTTATAAGTAAGTAGATGCATTTATTTGACACTTCTCAATATAACAACTGCACACATTCCTATACTGTGGTCAATTTAACATAATGAACCTTTGGTTTTCAGATGTAAGAAAATTATTTAAACCTTTAGTTACATTGACATTTCTTGGTTGTAGTGCCTTTCAACTTTTTAAATCCACCCTTCCAGTGGGATCAAGATAATCCTTATTTTCGACATCAAAACAATCCAAATCACTACCTTTGAGTTATGAAAAAGGTCAGATTGGATTACCAAAACCTTATCCCTATATGGAGGATCAGAAACTCATTTTTCAGTTTTGAAAAACCCAATTCTAAACATTTAATCCTAACAGATTGCCGGAATCCGGTCAGGTATCTTTTGAAAAACTGGGCCCAGGAAGCCAGTTCCAGTTTCTCTTATTTCCACCTCTGGTTGTATTGAAAAGTGCTGCTGATAACCCACCAGCATCATCCGGTCATCCTCCACTTCCTGTAGGAGACCAGCAAACTCCTGGAAAGATTCCGCTGTGGACAAAAATAAAGATATTATGTTACATAGGGCTTTGGGAGAGTTCTTGATTTATCCATGTTTAGTGAGATAATGGGGTAAAAATGAAGTCCTTAGAAGATGACAAGCTCATAGCACTGTACAGGGGAGGATGTGAAATCAATACAGGATAGCATTAGATTGTGTGCCACAACATGAAAATGTTTCACATCCGTATTCCATGAAATCAATTACACTGAAACATCAATACATCTGTTGCCACACAGACTCAATGCTAGGGGGTAAAGTAATAAGGCTGACTAGAGCCATATACGGATTAAACTCCAAAACTATATTTTAAGTGAGAACTAGGCAGGTCTGAAGTCGAAAAAGAAAGGAAATGTGAGCATCACACGGCCTACTTCACCCACCAAGGTTTTCCAGCACACAGCTTTGACCTACAGCAACTACAGTGAGGGAAAAAAGTATTTGATCCCCTGCTGATTTTGTACATTTGCCCACTGACAAAGAAATGATCAGTCTATAATTTTAATGGTAGGTTTATTTGAACAGTGAGAGACAGAATAACAACAACAAAATCAAGAAAAACATGTCAGAAATGTTATAAATTGATTTGCATTTAATGAGGGAAATAAGTATTTGACCCCTCTGCAAAACATTACTTAGTACTTGCTGGCAAAACCCTTGTTGGCAATCACAGAGGTCAGACATTTCTTGTAGTTGAACACCAGGTTTGCACACATTATATCAGGAGGGATTTTGTCCCACTCCTCTTTGCAGATCTTCTCCAAGTCATTAAGGTTTTGAGGCTGACGTTTGGCAACTCGAACATTCTGCTCCCTCTACAAATGTTCTATGGGATTAAGGTCTGGAGACTGGCTAGGCCACTCCAGGACCTTAATGTGCTTCTTCTTGAGCCACTCCTTTGTTGCCTTGGCCATGTGTTTTGGGTCATTGTCATGCTGGAATACCCATCCACAACCCATTTTCAATGCCCTGGCTGAGGGAAGGAGGTTCTCACCCAAGATTTGACGGTACATGGCCCCATCCATCGTCCCTTTGATGCAGTGAAGTTGTCCTGTCCCCTTAGCAGAAAAACACCCCCAAAGCATAATGTTTCCACCTCCATGTTTCACGGTGGGGATGGTGTTCTTGGGGTCATAGGCAGCATTCCTCCTCCTCCTCCAAACACGGTGAGTTGAGTTGATGCCAAAGAGCTCCATTTTGGTCTCATCTGACCACAACACTTTCACCCAGTTCTCCTCTGAATCATTCAGATGTTCATTGGCAAACTTCAGACAGGCATGTACAGTGGGGGAAAAAAGTATTTAGTCAGCCACCAATTGTGCAAGTTCTCCCACTTAAAAAGCTGAGAGAGGCCTGTAATTTTCATCATAGGTACACATCGACTATGACAGACAAATTGAGAAAAAAAATCCAGAAAATCACATTGTAGGATTTTTTATGAATTTATTTGCAAATTTTGGTGGAAAATAAGTATTTGGTCACCTACAAACAAGCATGATTTCTGGCTCTCACAGACCTGTAACTTCTTCTTTAAGAGGTTCCTCTGTCCTCCACTCGTTACCTGTATTAATGGCACCTGTTTGAACTTGTTATCAATATAAAAGACACCTGTCCACAACCTCAAACAGTCACACTCCAAACTCCACTATGGCCAAGACCAAAGAGCTGTCAAAGGACACCAGAAACAAAATTGTAGACCTGCACCAGGCTGGGAAGACTGAATCTGTAATAGGTAAGCAGCTTGGTTTGAAGAAATCAACTGTGGGAGCAATTATTAGGAAATGGAAGACATACAAGACCACTGATAATCTCCCTCGATCTGGGGCTCCACGCAAGATCTCACCCCGTGGGGTCAAAATGATCACAAGAAAGGTGAGCAAAAATCCCAGAACCACATGGGGGGACCTAGTGAATGACCTGCAGAGAGCTGGGACCAAAGTAACAAAGCCTACCATCAGTAACACACTACGCCGCCAGGGACTCAAATCCTGCAGTGCAGACGTGTCCCCCTGCTTAAGCCAGTACATGTCCAGGCCCGTCTGAAGTTTGCTAGAGTGCATTTGGATGATCCAGAAGAGGATTGGGAGAATGTCATATGGTCAGATGAAACCAAAATAGAACTTCTTGGTAAAAACTCAACTCGTCGTGTTTGGAGGACAAAGAATGCTGAGTTGCATCCAAAGAACACCATACCTACTGTGAAGCATGGGGGTGGAAACATCATGCTTTGGGGCTGTTTTTCTGCAAATGGACCAGGACGACTGATCCGTGTAAAGGAAAGAATGAATCGTGAGATTTTGAGTGAAAACCTCCTTCCATCAGCAAGGGCATTGAAGATGAAACATGGCTGGGTCTTTCAGCATGACAATGATCCCAAACACACCGCCCGGGCAACGAAGGAGTGGCTTCGTAAGAAGCATTTCAAGGTCCTGGAGTTGCCTAGCCAGTCTCCAGATCTCAACCCCATAGAAAATCTTTGGAGGGAGTTGAAAGTCCGTGTTGCCCAGCGACAGCCCCAAAACATCACTGCTCTAGAGGAGATCTGCATGGAGGAATGGGCCAAAATACCAGCAACAGTGTGTGAAAACCTTGTGAAGACTTACAGAAAACATTTGACCTGTGTCATTGCCAACAAAGGGTATATAACAAAGTATTGAGAAACTTTTGTTATTGACCAAATACTTATTTTCCACCATAATTTGCAAATAAATTCATTAAAAATCCTACAATGTGATTTTCTGGATTTTCTTTTCTCATTTTGTCTGTCATAGTTGACGTGTACCTATGATGAAAATTACAGGCCTCTCTCATCTTTTTAAGTGGGAGAACTTGCACAATTGGTGGCTGACTAAATACTTTTTTTCCCCCACTGTATATGTGCTTTCTTGAGCAGGGGGACCTTGCGGGCGCTGCAGGATTTCAGTCCTTCACGGCGTAGTGTGTTTACCAATTGTTTTCTTGGTGACTATGGTCCCAGCTGCCTTGAGATCATTGACAAGATCCTCCCGTATAGTTCTGGGCTGATTCCTCACCGTTCTCATGATCATTGCAACTCCACGAGGTGAGATCTTGCATGGAGCCACAGGCCGAGGGAGATTGACAGTTATTTTGTGTTTCTTCCATTTGCGAATAATCGCACCAACTGTTGTCACCTTCTCACCAAGCTGTTTGGCGATGGTCTTGTAGCCCATTCCAGCCTTGTGTAGGTCTACAATCTTGTCCCTGACATCCTTGGAGAGCTCTTTGGTCTTGGCCATGGTGGAGAGTTTGGAATCTGATTGATTGATTGCTTCTGTGGACAGGTGTCTTTTATAGAGGTAACAAGCTGAGATTAGGAGCACTCCCTTTAAGAGTGTGCTCCTAATCTCAGCTCGTTACCTGTATAAAAGACACCTGGGAACCAGAAATTTTCTGATTGAGAGGGGGTCAAATATTTATTTCCCTCATTAAAATGCAAATCAATTTATAACATTTTTGACATGAGTTTTTCTGGATTTTTTTGTTGTTATTCTGTCTCTCACTGTTCAAATAAACCTACCGCTAAAATTATAGACTGATCATTTCTTTGTCAGTGGGCAAACGTACAAAATCAGCAGGGGATGAAATACTTTTTTCCCTCACTGTATGTTGGTCTATTGTCCTTCAAACAATGTGTAGGCAGGTTGCTTCGGATTCACACCATCTCAAACAACCTAATTCATACTCTTCGAGGAGGTGCTCCCACAATAATGTGATTTTTACTGCATACAAGGTAATGTATTGCATGCTTTCCACCCCACACTAAGACATTATCCCATATGGCTCTTAGTCTGACCAATGGGGTAAGTGTTTGTGTGACATCATATCCCTATATGAACTTACCAATATTCATCTCGTCATCTGTCAGGGAATCACCAATGAAGTCGAACTGGAACAGGTTGAGTGTCTGGGAGAACTTCTGAACTGCCACAGAATAACCTTAATAAAAACACATACATTGCATATTATCAACCCAATCTACATAATTTGGTAACAAATATATAGTGGATGTATTAGGACTTTATAAATTAAACTGTGATTGTTATTTTGGTGATTGCCAAATATTGGGCTTAAATGTGATAGCACTGGTATTATTATAACAGTTCAGCCATATATAAATGAGCACAGTATTTGGTAGGGCCGGGACGATACCAGTATCGCGATACTCGTTAGTAACGTGGCAAGGAAACAAAGAAGTGGATTTAACTTCTTTAGGAAAACAGCCCTAATGTTGGAAACAAATACAGTGAGGGAAAAAAGTATTTGATCCCCTGCTGATTTTGTATGTTTGCCCACTGACAAAGACATGATCAGTCTATAATTTTAATGGTAGGTGTATTTGAACAGTGAGAGACAGAATAACAACAAAAAAAACAGAGAAATGCATGTCAAAAATGTTATAAATTGATTTGCATTTTAATGAGGGAAATAAGTATTTAACCCCTCTGCAAAACATGACTTAGTACTATGTGGCAAAACCCTTGTTGGCAATCACAGAGGTCAGACGTTTCTTGTAGTTGGCCACCAGGTTTGCACATATCTCAGGAGGGATTTTGTCCCACTCCTCTTTGCAGATCTTCTCCAAGTCATTAAGGTTTCGAGCCTGACGTTTGGTAACTCGAACCTTCAGCTCCCTCCACAGATTTTCTGTGGGATTAAGGTCTGGAGACTGGCTAGGCCACTCCAGGACCTTAATGTGCTTCTTCTTGAGCCACTCCTTTGTGGCCTTGGCCGTGTGTTTTGGGTCATTGTCATGCTGGAATACACATCCACGACCCATTTTCAATGCCCTGGCTGAGGGAAGGAGGTTCTTGCCCAAGATTTGACGGTACATGGCCCCGTCCATTGTCCCTTTGATGCGGTGAAGTTGTCCTGTCCCCTTAGCAGAAAAACACCCCCAACGCATAATGTTTCCACCTCCATGTTTGACGGTGAGAATGGTGTTCTTGGGTCATAGGCAGCATTCCTCCTCCTCCAAATACGGCGAGTTGAGTTGATGCCAAAGAGCTTGATTTTGGTCTCATCTGACCACAACACTTTCACCCAGTTCTCCTCTGAATCATTCAGATGTTCATTGGCAAACTTCAGACGGGCCTGTATATCTGCTTTCTTGAGCAGGGGGACCTTGCGGGCGCTGCAGGATTTCAGTCCTTCACGGCGTAGTGTGTTACCAATTGTTTTCTTGGTGACTATGGTCCCAGCTGCCTTGAGATCATTGACAAGATCCTTCTGTGTAGTTCTGGGCTGATTCCTCACCGTTCTCATGATCATTGCAACTCCACGAAGTGAGATCTTGCATGGAGCCCCAGGCCGAGGGAGATTGACATTTCATTTGTGTTTCTTCCATTTGCGAATAAATCGCACCAACTGTTCTCACCTTCTCACCAAGCTGCTTGGCGATGGTCTTGTAGCCCATTCCAGCCTTGTGTAGGTCTACAATCTTGTCCCTGAAATCCTTGGAAAGCTCTTTGGTCTTGGTCTCTTTGGTCTTGGCCATGGTAGAGAGTTTGGAATCTGATTGATTGCTTCTGTGGAAAGGTGTCTTTTATACAGGTAACAAGCTGAGATTAGGAGCACTCCCTTTAAGAGTGTGCTCTAATCTCAGCTCGTTACCTGTATAAAAGACACCTGGGAGCCAGATATCTTTCTGATAAAAATGTATTAAAATGCAAATCAATTTATAACATTTTTGACATGTGTTTTTCTGGATTTTTTTGTTGTTATTCTGTCTCTCACTGTTCAAATAAACCTACTATTAAAATTATAGACTGATCATTTCTTTGTCAGTGGGCAAACGTACAAAATCAGCAGGGGATCAAATACTTTTTTCCCTCACTGTATCCCTATGTCATCCAGAGTCACAATTATTTATTTTGTGATACTTGTATGTTATGTTACAGTAGGCTTGGGCGATATACCGTTTATACCGTATACCTGTTTATAACTACAAGTTAAGTATAACTAAAGAAATCTAAGATGTGTCAAATAAATTATATCCAGCTCAGGGCACCAGCTGTGCATTCGATTTGCTAAATGGTAGCTAATTGGCTAGGTGTCAAGATCAAGCTTCTTAGTTAAAGCAGAGACATTCAATCCCCTCCTAGATCAAGAGTCCTGTTGCCTAAATTGTTTATTTTTTATAGCGCTCGTGTGCACATTCGGTAATACCGTATGGTACAGAAACGGTCCGAAAATCTGGATACCCCCCAACCCTACGTTACAGTCCTCTTTCAAGCGCTCTAATGAGTGAAGACAGTCATTACTGTAAGATTTAGAATTAATTAAGTGATAATGTCAGAGAAGCTGGTGTTTGGAGGATATATTGGCACGGGTGTTGTTAGGCACGAGAAGAACTCGAGGGCCGGCAAACCGTGCCAATATATCCTCAACACCGGCTTCGAGGGCATTATGACTTTTATACAACAGGTTACCAACATATTCAAATAATGACTGACATATTTTCATTAAAAACTTTATTTTGATGAATTTATTCATACTATTTCATCCTTCCACAGGATATAGTCCCGAAACAAATCTAGGGTTGCTACCCAAGCCGGCTGGTCGTTCGTTCTATCGGTTCGGTTGCCAGAGACGCAACCCAGTCGTTCAGTCTTTTTGTTCTGTATCTATGGACGCGACCCAGTCGTTCGTTCTAAATGTTCCTGTCAGGGTGTCAGTGTAATGCGGTAGGCGAAGTCAGGCGCAGGACACAGAGCTAATCAGAAGGCGTACTTTACTCGAAGGTAAAAGAAAGAACAACAACCTCCACGCAGGGAGGGAACAAACCCGCACACTAACGACAGCCGAAACATGAACAAACACACACAACACACAGTGTGAGACAGAGGGTTAAATAGGGAAGACATCACTACATAATGGGAAACAGGTGTACATAATAAAGACAAAACAAGTCGAACATAGATACATGGATCGGTAGCAGCTAGTACTCCGGTGACGACGAACGCCGAAGCCTGCCCGAGCAAGGAGGAGGGGCAGCCTCGGCTGAATCCGTGACAGTTTCATTGCCATACTGGCTGGCAACGTTCTTATCCCTTGCTTGCTAGCTAGCCAACTACAGCTAACATACAGCCATGTCAAAAAGTGCAGCCAGAATAACAGCAAAGTAGCTGTATTTGCATTTGTTTAAACTGTTTTCTAGTGACATTTATTTGGATACATCAATAACAATGAGCTAATGAGAAGTGATTTCACCTGGCATAGAACATTTGCTCACTTGTCAGGGCACTGTTGTTCAGAGGAGCTAGCCAACAACACAGCTAACACAATCACTTCAAACTGAAGCTGGAAAAACTGCAAACTAGCTCCACTTCATTTAGTTTGACCTTTTTTCCAACTTACATTTCTTTTTATATATCCATAAAAATGATGCCAGCTGATTAATGATTTCGACTGGCTGAGAAACGCTGCCTGCCTGTGTCTTGTCCCAACTCACGACACATTCATTACTATGGAACAGCTTGAGATTGAATTTGAATATTGAAACAATGTTGCAAATGTCAGAGAGACAGACAGCAAGGTTTATACAAATCTCAGCTGTTGAAAACAAAAATGTTAGTCTAAAAGAAATGTGAGATAATGTCTAGATGCTTTTTATAGTGGAGATCAAGTTTATAAATTGCTTGGCTGGGCTGATGAGACAGTGGATTGCGCAGTCAGATGGAACAGAGTAAATAGGCATTTTAATGTCATAGATTTACTTGTGGAATAGACACCGGCTGGAATGCGGTTTTAACCACTCAGCCTTCAAGATTAGACCCACCCGTTGTATAATATACAGACAAGTAAGACATGGACATGCTAATGGTTAGAATGGTTCTTCAGGTTGGGGCATAGATCAACGAGATAAAACAGTACAAGAGCTGAGGGCAAACTCAGCTCTAGGTTCAGCCTACTCAGCTGGACCCAGAGTTAGGAACATTGCTACACTGCTTCATTGCAGTCTCCTGTTCTGATGCCAGATATATTTTCTTACATTACATTAGAAGAGGTGTGTCAAATTATTTTCACCTCAGGGGTGTGCCAATGAGGAGGCCCAAGATATCAGACAGACTAGTGAAACCGGTATGAAATGGATGGCTAGTTAGCGGTGCGCACTAGCAGCATTTGAATCGGTGAAGTCACTCGCTCTGAGACCTTGAAGTAATTGTTTCCCTTGCTCTGCAAGGACTGCAGCTTTTGTGGAGCGATAGGTAACGATGCTTTGAGGGTGACTGTTGTCGACATGTGCAGAGGGTTCCTGGTTCAAGTCCAGGTTGGGGCGAGGAGAGGGACGGAAGCAATACTGTTACACAGGGCTGCAGTGGAGCAGGTCTTCAAGTTCCTCTGTGTCCAAATCACTAAAGACTTAAAATGGTCCAAACACACACACGCACAGTCCACACGTGCACGGACCTGAAGAAGGCGCGACAGCGTTTCTTCCCCCTCAGGTTGAAATAGTTTGGCATGGGCCCTCAAATCGTCAAAGAGTTCTACAGCTGTACCATAGAGCATCTTAACTAGCTGCAGCATTGCCTGGTATGGCAATAGCACCGCCCTCGATAGCATGGCGCTACAGAGGGTGGTGCGGACAGCCCAGTACATCACTGGGGACGAGCTCCCTGCCATCCAGGACATCTACAGTGCATTCAGAAAGTATTCAGACCCTTTGACATTTTCCACATTTTGTTACGTTACTGCCTTATACTAAAATTGATTAAATTGTTTTATTCCATCAATCTATACACAATACCCCATAATGACAAAGCAAAACCAGGTTTTCAGAAAATTTTGCTACAAAATAAAATTACTAAACTGAAATATCACATTTACATAAGTATTCAGACCCTTTCCTCAGTAGTTTGATGAAGCACCTTTGGCAGCGATTTCAGCCTCGAGTCTTCTTGGGAGTGACGCTACAAGCTTGGCACACCTGTATTTGGGGAGTTCCTCACATTCTTCTCTGTAGATCCTCTCAAGCTCTGTCAGGTTGGATGGGGAGCGTCGCTGCACAGCTATTTTCAGGTCTCTCCAGAGATGTTTGATCAGGTTCAAGTCCGGGCTCTGGCTGGGCCACTCAAGGACATTCAAAGACTTGTCCCGAAGCCACTCCTACGTTGTTTTGGCGCTCTGGAGCAGGTTTTCATCAAGGATCTCTCTGTACTTTGCTCCGTTCATCTTTCCCTCGATCCTGACTAGTCTCCCAGTCCCTGCCGCTGAAAAACATCCCCACAGCATGATGCTGCCACCCCCATGCTTCACCGCAGGGATGGTGCCAGGTTTCCTCCACACGTGACGCTTGGCATTCAGGCCAAAGAGTTCAATCTTGGTTTCATCAGACCAGAGAATCTTGTTTCACATGGTCTGAGAGTCTTTTGGCAAACTCCAAGCGGGCTGTCATGTGCCTTTTACTGAAGAGTGGCTTCCGTCTGGCCACTCTACCATAAAGGCCTGATTGGTGGAGTGCTGCAGAGATTGTTGTCCTTCTGGAAGGTTCTCCCATCTCCACAGAGGAACTCTAGAGCTCTGTCAGAGTGAAGTCGGGTTCTTGGTCACCTCTCTGACCAAGGCCCTTCTCCCTCGATTGCTCAGTTTGGCCAGGCGGCCAGCTCTAGGAAGAGCCTTGGAGGTTATAAACTTCCATTTAAGAATGATGGAGGCCACTGTGTTCTTGGGGACCTTCAATGCTGCAGATATTTTTTGGTACCCTACCCCAGATCTGTGCCTCGACACAATCCTGTCTCGGAGCTCTATGGACAATTCCTTCGACCTAATGGCCTGGTTTTTCCTCTGACATTAACTGTCAACTGTAGGACCTTATATAGACAGGTGTGTGCCTTTCCAAATCATGTCCAATCAATTGAATTTACCACAGGTGGACTCCAATGAAGTTGTAGAAACATCTCAAGGATGATCAATGGAAACAGGATGGACCTGAGCTCAATTTTGAGTCTCATAGCAAAGGGTCTGAATGCCTACCACTTTAAAGATGCAAAATATATTTTTCAAATAAGACAAAAAAACAGAGACTTGAGTGTGCATAACTGTTCCCCCCCCCCCGCTGGTGTACAGCAATTTTTAAGTCATAACACATATTCTCAATTGGATTGAGATCTGGGTTTTGACTAGGCCATTCCAAGACATTTAAATGTTTCCCCTTAAACCACTCAAGTGTTGCTTTAGCAGTATGCTTATGGTCATTGTCCTACTGGAAGGTGAACCTCCGTCCCAGTCTCAAATCTCTGGAAGACTGAAACAGGTTTCCCTCAAGAATGTTCCTGTATTTAGCGCCATCCATCATTTCCCAGTCCATGCCGATGAAAAACATCCCCACAGCATGATGCTGCCACCACCATGCTTCACTGTGGGGATGGTGTTCTCGGGGTGATGAGAGGTGTTGGGTTTGTGCCAGACATAGCGTTTTCCTTGATGGCCAAAAAGCTCAATTTTAATCTCATCTGACCAGAGTACCTTCTTCCATATGTTTGGGGAGTCTCCCACATGCCTTTTGGCGAACACCAAACCTGTGTTGTTTTTTTCTTTAAGCAATGGCTTTTTTCTGGCCACTCATCCGTAAAGCCCAGCTCTGTGGCGTGTACGGCTTGAAGTGGTCCTATGGACAGATACTACAATCTCTGCTGTGGAGCTTTGCAGCTCCTTCCGGGTTATCTTTGTAGCCTCTCTGATTAATGCCCTCCTTGCCTTGTCCGTGAGTTTTGGTGGGCGGCCCTCTCTTGGCAGGTTTGTTGTGGTGCCATATTCTTTCAATTATTTTAATAATGGATTTAATGGTGCTCCGTGGGATGTTCAAAGTTTCTGATATTTTTTTATAACCCAACCCTGATCTGTACTTCCCCACAACTTTGCCCCTGACCTGTTTGGAGAGCTCCTTGGTCTTCATGGTGCCACTTGCTTGGTGGTGACCCTTGCTTAGTGGTGTTGCAGACTCTGGGGCATTTCAGAACAGGTGTATATATACTGAGATCATGTGACACTTAGATTGCACACAGGTGGACTTTATTTAACTACTTATGTGACTTCTGAAGGTAATTGGTTGCCCCAGATCTTATTTAGGGGCTTCATAGCAAAGGCGGTAAATACATATGCACGCACTACTTTTCCGTTATTTATTTTTTTGAATTTTTTAAAAAAAGTATTTTTTTTTATTTCACTTCACCAATTTGGACTATTTGGTATATGTCCATTACATGAAATCCAAATAAAAATCCATTTAAATTACAGGTTGTAATGCTACAAAATAGGGAAAAACGCCAAGGGGGATGAATACTTTTGCAAGGCACTGGATCTATAATATTCTACTGTATCTTAGTCCATGCCGCTCTGACATCGCTCGTCCATATATGTATATTTTCTTAATTCCATTCCTTACTTAGATGTGTGTATTGGGTATATGTTGTGAAATATTACTGCACGGAGCTAGAAGCACAAGCATTTCGCTACACCCGCAATAACATCTGTTAAACACGTGTATGTGACAAATAACATTTGATTTGATTTGATTTATTGCTCAGCATATGTCTGCGTCAGAGAGACAAGAGAGAGCATGAGAAAACAAGTTTTGATCAGACAGGTAAATAAAAGTGCTGAAAACGTTTTGGCTCACTATTTGAAAACAAAAAAAATAGAGAACAAGCTATAGGATGAAAAATACCGGAGTTTTGGCTCAGGTACAGCCAACTAGCGCTAGCTAACGGTACCTACAGTAGCTGCTGCTACATCGTTAACGCCACTTCAAAAAAATATTATCATATTTTTTTGGGGGGTAGAAAATACTTTTCGGGATGGTAAAACGTTTTCAGTGTAAACTTCAATTACTAAAACCAGATATAAAGTATGAAAAAATATATATATTTGAGAACTAACTAGACAGTCAGGAAGAATCTAAAATATGGCATGGCATGGGGCCCCCACTGATTTTGCTATAATGTTTGAGTCACTCAGATAGAATAAGAACACAGCATAAGCCATGGCAAAATGTGTGGAATTGCAGGAAATGAGCTTTGAAAATTGTAAAAATGTCTCTCCGCCCCATGGCAAATGTGTAGACCCCCCCCCCCCAAGCTAACTTTACAACTGCTGCTAAAAGAAATCCTGGAGGAATCACTATGGACTTGTGTTTGCACCCAGATGGGTGTTGTTAGGCCGATGACTTATGATAACACAGTATATAATTGGGGGGGGGGGGGTCTTATTTCAGCCCAATCCTTTATACCTGTTGACAACGAACACTCTTCAAGTGACCTCCAGTTATCACCAAGACTGAATAAGTGACATATCCTCTACTCAGCACTTCATCTCTCTTTACAATGGCAGTTTCTGTTTTCGAGATAAAAAGCTTGACATTGGTGAATTGGGCTACGGAATGGAATCTCTGTGGGTCAAACAATGCAAATACTGTTCCAGTCATTTGGTCCTATACCAACAGAGGCAGTGGTACTCATGGAGAACGTCCAAGAGCTGACGTTTGGGATTAGCACAGTGGTACTTTGGTGAAATACTGAGGTTAGCTTTCAGTAGCCTAAGTAAGATCAACTCCAACAGTGCAAAAGGCATCAACCAAGATTCTGTAAACACAAGGGTAAACACACTGGTCCTTATGATCTGCAAAGGCAGCATTCTCTCTTTATATGTAGAGTATAATATCATATGGCATTGGTTTTGGTGGAGAAGAAAACAGGAAGGAAAAGAGACAGGACCATGGCATGGTAATAACGCACAGCACGACAACAATGACAAAAACATGGTTATATTGTATGCTACAGGTTCATGTTGTGTATAATAAGGAATCACTGAGGCCTTCCATTGTTTACTTATGCTTGCTTAGCACGTGGTTTGGGTGTGGTTATAGACTGTGCTGCAAACATAAGATCATATTTTTCTATGATTGAAACATTTATGCCTACCTACATAGGAAAGCCTCTAAATGGTTCCTGGATGCCTGATCTTGACTCCATAGGCTATCCACCATCATTGCTCTGTGGATTTGGACTGACTTTATGAAGCATAGTATAGAAGGTGCTGGTGTCACATGCGGAAGTCAGCATGGGATGAGTCATACATACCGGAGTTCATCAGAGTTAATTTACAATGTAGCTGTAGGTTGTCTGTCTATCAGGTCATCTGTCTATCAAGTCATGTTTTTGACATGTTAAGTCGGTTACATAATTAATAGTTTGCTCTCACAGCCCACTGTGATCCACTCATTTCTTATCAAGAAAAGTACAACGTTAGGCTGATAAATTGGTTGAAATTGTGTGCTTGTTATTCAGCTGCTTGCCAAATGATGAACCATAATCAATACCAGTGCAGTCACTATTTGGCACATACAATGCATTGAAAATGTTTTTCCATTGAATGTTTATGGATCCGTTCACACTCATGTATTTTTTTACAGGAATCCATCAGGACAACAGATGCAAGGGGGTCAGATGTGTTTAATTTGGAGAGGGCCAGCCCTCTCCCCTTTTCACACCACTGCTCAGTGTGCATCATTCCATTGGCTGAAGAGTAGATTCTTTCCATCTGTCAGGCTCTGCCTCACCATATCTAATCAGAGTATCTAGTGGTCAAGTGAAAGCATCAGGCAGGCTTTGTTTTTGGAAACAATTGCCCAGCAATGAGGTTCCTCTCCTACAAACAGTGGGTAGGATATGTCTCGTGAGCCCACAAACAGCCTAGAAAGTAAAACATTTAAAAGGGAAGAAAAAGAGAGAAGAAGCTTACCCTTGATTGCATTGATTACACTGTTGCCATCTTTGATTACATCTTTGAGAAATTTGCTTGTTCTTTCCAATTCTAATTCATAGCATTTTAGTCTTTCTCTAAAATCCGGACTGTCCCCATAGCAGTCGCTGAACTCAAGGGGAGGATGCCCCATTACTAATTTTTTTAATGCTGTGCAGCAGCCTAGATGTTGGAATGAGAAGTCTTCGAATTAAAGCATCATATTGCAGAACATTGTTGATCCATTTTCCACGTTGAGATTTGGTTAGCCCGCTCCAGTAAAAATTAATGCAGTCGAACCGGACCCGTGAAACGCAGTAATTCTTGAAGAGAGATTCTTGATGCATTCATTCATCAGGTAAACAATGTTGGGTGATTCTTGTTACAATGTATCTTCGAGTATATCTGGTTCCTTTTTTTACATATCATAAATGTATCTTCCCTTTGGATACTTTTTCCTTTTTGCGGGGGCTAAAAGAGTGACTTGCGAAAAGCGGGTTCACCAAGCACATCCTCCTTTCACACCCATAGTAGAATTCTTAAAGGGACAGCTACAGAAAAAATATTTTCCAGATGCACGATTTTGATTATATAAAATTTTAGAATTGTTAATACATTGTCATATTTGACTGCTTTTGTCTCTTAATTTGTGCTTACTTCGTGTCAACTTGACAAGTCAAGACAATATACTTTTTTGTTCTCTGAACCACTTCAACGATAATAATGCCCAACGCCCATGCTCTTCAACAGGGCAATGCATAGTCAAACTTCCCATAATTTGCTAGTATGCTGTGTTCATAACATGCTGACTAGACCGGTCGCGCGCATGTATATTTTGTCCATCCACACCAGACGCGATCAGGACAGGCAGGTTGAAATATCAAAACAAACTCTGAAACAACTATATTAATTTGGAGACAGTTCGAAAAGTATTAAACATTCATGGCAATTTAGCTAGTTAGCTTGCTGTTGATAGCTAATTTGTCCTGGGATATAAACATTGGGTTGTTATTTACCTGAAATGCACAAGGTCCTCTACTCCGACAATTATTCCACAGATAAAAGGGTAAACAGAGTTAGTTTCTAGTAATCTCTCCTCCTTCGGTCTTCTTCTTCTTCTTCTTCTTCTTTGGACTTTATAATGGCGGTTGGCAACCATCTTTAAGGTGCATTACCACCACCAACTGGACTGGAGTGTGGGCCTCAGTTAATCTTTCAATCACCAGCGTGGGTATATGCTCCTAAAAACCAATGAGGAGATGGGAGAGGCGGGACTTGCAGCGCACCAAGCATCACAAATAGAACCAAGTTCTATTTTAGTGCCTGGCTAAGCAGACGCTCGTTGATGCGCGCGAGCAGTTTGGATGCAATGACTGAACAACATGTATGTGTCAATTTATTTTGCAACGCTCGCACACGTAACGCGAGCGGTGTGGTCAGCATGTAAGTGGTAAAAATATATGACTTGGAAAAATCCACTTGAACGCTCTTCCAACTGGTAATTAGAAACTCCTCTTTCATCCCTGAGCTCCAACTTCTCTCACATGCTGACCTCTGACATCGCCTAATAAGGAAATGATCTCTATAACAACATTTTCAACAGTTAAATGCAACAACAAAACATGATTTATAAAACACAATCTAATTCAAATAAAATAACATGTTATTTGTCACATGCGCCGAAGACAACAGGTGTAGACCTTACAGTGAAATGCTTACTTACAAGCCCTTAACCAACAATGCAGTTTTAAGAAAAATAAGTGTTAAGAAAGTATTTACTAAAATAAACTGAAGTAAAAAAAAGAGCAACAATAAAATAACAGTAGCGAGGCTATATACAGGGGGTACCGGTACAGAGTCAATGTGCGGGGGCACAGGTTAGTCCAGGTAATTGAGGTAATATGTACATGGAGGTAGAAGTAAAGTGACTATGCATAGTCAAATAGTCATTTGATTAGCTGTTCAAGCTTGGGGGTAAAAGCTGTTAAGAAGCCTTTTGGACCTAGACTTGGCGCTCTGGTACCGCTTACCGTGCAGTAGCAGAGAGAACGGTCTATGACTAGGGTGGCTGGAGTCTTTGGTAATTTTTAGGGCCTTCCTCTGACATGGCCTGGTATAGAGGTCCTGGAGGGCCGGAAGCTTGGCCCAGTGATGTACTGGGCTGTACACACTACCCTCTGTAGTGCCTTGCGGTCGGAGGCCGAGCAGTTGCCATACCAGGCGGTGATGCAACCAGTCAGGATGCTCTCGATGGTGCAGCTGTAGAACCTTTTGAGGATCTGAGGACCCATCCCAAATCTTTTCAGTCTCCTGAGGGGGAATAGGCTTTGTCGTGCCCTCTTCATGACTGTCTTGGTGTGTTTGGACCATGATAATTATCTGGTGATGTGGACACCAAGGAACTTGAAGCTCTCAACCTGCTCCACTACAGCCCCGTTGATGAGAATGGGGGCGTGCTCGGTCCTCCTTTTCCTGTAGTCCACAATCCTCTCCTTTGTCTTGATCACGTTGAGGTAGAGGTTGTTATCCTGGCACCACACGGCCAGGTCTCTGACCTCCTCCCTATAGGCTGTCTCATCGTTGTCGGCGATCAGGCCTACCACTGTTATGTCGTCGGCAAACTTAATGATGGTGTTGGAGTCGTGCTTGGCAATGCAGTCATGGGTGAACAGGGAGTACAGGAGGGGACTGAGCACGCACCCCTGAGGGGCCCCAGTGTTGAGGATCAGCGTGGCAGATGTGTTGTTACCTACCCTTACCACCTGGGGGAGGCCGGTCAGGAAGTCCAGGATCCAGTTGCAGAGGGAGGTGTTTAGTCCCAGGGTCCTTAGCTTAGTGATGAGCTTTGAGGGCACTAAGGTGTTGAATGCTTAGCTGTAGTCAATTAATAGCATTCTCACGTAGGTGTTCCTTTTGTCCAGGTGGGAAAAGGCAGTGTGGAGTGCAATATCTGTGGATCTGTTGGGGCGGTATGCAAATTGGAGTGGGTCTAGGGTTTCTGTAATAATGGTGTTTATGTGAGCCATGACCAGCCTTTCAAAGCACTTCATGGCTACAGACGTGAATGCTACGGGTCGGTAGTCATTTAGGCAGGTTACCTTAGTGTTCTTGGGCACAGGGACTATGGTGGTCTGCTTGAAACATGTTGGTATTACAGACTCAGCCAGGGACAAGTTGAAAATGTCAGTGAAGACCCTTGCCAGTTGATCAGCGTAATAGTTTGCAAGCCCTGCCGATGAGCGTCAGAGCCGGTGTAGTATAATTCAATCTTAGTCCTATATTGTCGCTTTGCCTATTCGATGGTTCGTCGGAGGGCATAGCAGGATTTATTATAAGCATCCGGGCTCTTTGAAAGCAGCAGCTCTACCCTTTAGCTCAGTGCAGATGTTGCCTGTATCCATTACATTTTAGTCATTTAGCAGACACTCTTATCCAGAGCAACTTACAGTTAGTGAGTGCATACATAATTTTTTTATTTTTCATACTGGCCCCCCATGGGAATCGAACCCACAACCCTGGCATTGCAAACTATCAACATCCCTGCCGGCCATTCCCTCCCCTACCCTGGACGACACTGGGCCAATTGTGCGCCGCCCCATGGGTCTCCTGGTCGCGGCCGGCTACGACAGAGCCTTGATTCAAACCAGGATCTCTAGTGGCACAGCTAGCACTGCGATGCAGTGCCTTAGACCACTGCGCCACTAGGGAGGTAGTGGTTGGGGTATGTACGTACGGTCACTGTGGGGACGACGTCATCTATGCACTTATTGATGCAGCCAGTGACTGATGTGGTGTACTCCTCAATGCCGTTGGAAGAATCCCGGAACACATTCCATTCTGTGCTAGCAAAACAGTCTATTAATATGGTTTTTGAACATGACATTTTTTAAAAAGCATAATAGCTGTAACTTTAGTGTATGGTTGACGCAGCTTGTTGGCCATTAGCCAATCAGCGTTTCTCAACGAGTTCAAATAAAGTAAATACATCCAACTGGTATTTACAAGTTCACAACAAGTAATTACCACCTTCCCAATTGGATATGAATGTAGCATTATTATTGACTGCTGCTGTACACACATTTTCTATTTAAAAAATCCATAATGTCTATACACACCAGCATATACATATATACTTATACTCCGGACTATGACATTGCTCCTTCTAATTTTTCTATATTTCTAAATTCCTTTATTTAAATTTTTTGTATTTGCGTGTATTGTGTTGTTAGGTGTTACTGCACTGTTGGAGATAGGAACGTAAGCATTTCACTACACTCGCGATAACATATGCAAATCCCCTCATAATGAACCGGGTAGTTTAGGTCCTGGATGCTGATTGGCTGAAAGCCAAGGTATAATATCAGACAATATACCATGGGTATGATGTAAAATTACTTGTTTACAGTTCTAATTATGTTAGTAAACAGTTTATAATAGCAATAAGGCACCTTTGGGGGTTTATGGTATATTTCCAATAATATACCATGGCTAAGGGCTGTATCCAGGAACTCAGTGTTGCATCATGCATAAGAATAGCCCTTAACCGTGGTATATTGGCCAAAAAATCACACCTCCTCTGGCCTTATTGCTCAATTATATAGCTCAGTGATTATTTGCATCAGTCACTGTTTATACCAGTATTGCATCCTAACCGGAATATATTCCTTTTGAATAAGTGCTAATCTTTGAAATTCTGGAGATCATGCAAACATAAAAATGTGTCTACTATGTCTGCTTTTTTTCTCTCCAGCCTGTAACTTTGGTTATTAATGCTGCGTTCATAACGACGTGGGAAGGTGGTATTTACTACTAACCTTGTGGACAGGCTATTGCGCACAGGACTCACTAAAAACACGGCACTTCGATACAAGTAACTTTTCATAGGAGAGCAGGTTACCAGAGCATTTTCACTAAGCCTAACCCTTTTTCTAACCTTAACCTAATTCTCCTAACCTGCTACATTAATTCTCCTAACCTGCTATGAAAAAATTGTAGCTGTATCAAAGTGGCGTGTTTTTACAGAATCTCTATTGTGAACAGTGCATATACTGTAAGCCTGGTACATCAACGATTCAAAGGTGGCCTTAGTGGGAGTGACCATAGAATTCTATGGGAGTGACCTTACTGAGTAAAGTATTTGTGCTTGTGGTGTGCTAGCGTACGGGTAGGGTTAGGGGGAAGTTGTTGTGGGAGATGATTGGTTGGTAGATTAAGCCGATTAAGCCAATGCCTATGCGCCTGGAGTTTCTCTCAGCTTATTTTTTTTTTTTTATCCATCCACCACCTTCGGAAGACACATATCTTTTGGGGTTTTTACAGCTTTTCTGCTACATATACATACATTTTACATATACATTTCACATACATGGTACTTTTATATACAGCAATCACATAACAATAATACATAGTTTCTCTCAGTCTTTCTGTATTAGTAAGTTTGACTCGTTAGTACACCAGACTAAAAAATGAAAAGCTGAAATGTCTTGAGTCAATAAGTCACATAATAAGTTGCATGGACTCACTCTGTGTGCAATAATAGTTTTTTCATGATTTTTGAATGACTTTATTGAGCTTCACAATCAATTTGAGATACTTTCGGAAGATTTGGACATGATGTGCGAAAAATGCTAATATCGGTCCCATGATTTGAATGGGATTTGTGCCACAAATGCTAAAACGTTAGCATGTGGAAACTTCCCAACTGGTATTTACGACTTCACAACTGGTAAATACCACCTTCCCACTTCGTTATGAACGCAGCATTAGTCACGTGACATCCTGGTCAAACATTTGGATGACGTTTCATATCCGTGTGGACAGAGAAAATGGCAGAAGTGGCTGAGTCAAGTAAACCTATGGTAAGAAGAAAGCACATAACGTAACTATTCGTGTATATAACATTTGCATAGTATACATGAATGTTATTGTAAGCGTGGTGTTAATATTAAATACAGATGAGGGAATGTCAACGTGGGTGTTGACCAACACTCCATGGAAAGGAAAAAGCTTGCAGTATTAACATTGTTGTATGTTCAGAAAAGTCACTGTCCATACAAAAGTACTCAATGGCTTCCAAAACCTGGAGGGAGAATTGTTTAGTTCTTTAAAGTCATCGGTTGTCATTATTGATAGCCAAATATCTAATTTCTTTGTACCTGTGTTTCTATCTCCAGTTTGCAGGTCTGTCAGATGTGTCCATTTCAGGGGACATCCCTGTTGAGGGGGAGATCAATGTCCCTGTTGGAACCCCGAGTCAGGACAACGAATACTCCACACTGGATGAACCTGTCAAAGACACCATAGTAAGATTTCCCTTTTTGTGCACATACTCGAATCTTTAAAGGCCTATTTCAATAAAAAAATGTGATTCTTCTGTGTTTTATATCATATTGTACAACAGCTGATGAAACTAACACTGTAAAAGTGTGAAAGAATTTGATCAGTGTTATTTCCTGATAGTTGCTGGTTGAAAATACAATCTACATAGGACCTTTTTAATCAGCAGGTTTGCATGGGCGGGAGTTTTGGCTTTCCATGGTGACGTCACCATGCGGAAAATAGGTTAATTAAGCAATAAAACATGAGAACCAGGGGATTATCGTGTGATAAATCCCTTTTAGGTCCTTATTGCTTTTATAAAATGTTTGCCAACATTTTAAAAAGATTAACGACATGTTTTCATTAAGGTTATTTTAATGAGTAAATTTGTTTTATTTTAACCTTCCACCAGACGATATAGTCGGGGCAAAAACCAGTTGTTAGTTCTGAAGTTGCTAACCAAACAGGCTGGTCATGAATTATTTTGGGATGTTTTGACCCAGTCGTTCATTCTGTTCATTCCAAGTTTCTATGCTAAACAAATCATTGGCATGTAGCTAGCTAGCAGAGCTTCAAAGATGACGAGAGACAAGAACTTCAATAAATAATTATTTAATAAATAATGTATAAATAGGCAACAAGAACTTAATAAAATAATGTATAAATAAGCAAAAACCAGCAGATTGTCAAGTCAATAATATAACATTAACGTTAGTTATGAAGGATAGCTAGGCAAACGACGTTACTCCTCCTTTGCTTGCTAGCTAGCTAGCGAGCTAGCCAACTACACACAATCACATCAAGTAACTGAAATGACAGCAAGCTATGTGCATTTTCTTTTGTTTTACCTTCGTTTCTATATTGCCATTTCTTTGGATATATCCATTATAATGATCCTGATAAATTAATGATCTTGTATCATAGAAGCTCCCAGTCTCGTCACGGTCATTTGCATGGCATGGTGGAGACTGCAAAAATAAACTGCAACATGTTTCACAGGTCAGATGGGCACACAGAGAGGCTTATATTAACCTCCGTTATACCAAACCAAATGCTAGGCAAGAAGCATGGGGAAATAATGTCTTGACTCTTTTTTGCAGTGGAGATTAAGTTTATGGCTGGTCGTTCGTTCTATCGGTTCGGTTGCCAGAGACACGACCCAGGCGTTCAGTCTTTTTGTTCTGTATCAATGGACGCGACCCAGTCGTTCGTTCTAAATGTTCCATTGCCATACTGGCTGGCAACGTTCTTATCCCTTGCTTACTAGCTAGCCAACTACGGCTAACTTACAGTCACGTCAAAAAGTGCAGCCAGAATAACAGCAAAGTAGCCGCATTTGTTTAAGCTGTTTTCTAGTGGCATTTATTTGGACACATCCATAACAATGAGCTAATGAGGCGTGATTTCGCCTGGCATAGAAATTGTGCTCACTCGTCAGGACATTGTTGTTCAGAGGAGTTAGCCAACAACACAGCTAATGCAATCACTTCAAACTGAAGCTGGAAAGACTGCAAACTAGCGGCACTTCGTTTCTTGACCTTTTTTCAATTAACATTTCTTTGTATATATCCATAAAAATGAGGATTTTGACTGGCTGAGAAACGCCGCCTGTCTCGTCCCGACTCCCGACACGTTCATTACTATGGGACAGCTGGAGATCAAATTTGAATATTTAAACAATGTTGCAAATGTCAGAGAGACAGAATGCAAGGTTTATACAAATATACGCTCTTGCAAACTAAATGTTAGTCTAAAAGAAATGTGAGATAATGTCTAGATGCTTTTTATAGTGGAGATCAAGTTTATAAAGTGCCCGGCTGGGCTGATGAGACAGTGGATTGTGCAGTCAGATGGAACAGAGTAAATAGGCATTTTAACATCATAGATTTAGCCGGTGGTAACTTGTGGAATAGACACCGGCTGGAATGCACTTTTAGCCAATCAGCATTCAGGATTAGACCCACCCGTTGGATAATAGACCAATAACAAAGAGCGTTCCAAACTTCTCTGCCAATAACGGATAGTTTTCAGTTTTCCCCTCCCACTCAGACCTCTCCCAGACAGTCCTATTCTTGCTTGAGAAATAGTTTTTTGCTAAAAAGCTATTTTTGCCCATTTGAATGGAAATCTATTACAGTAAGGTACTTAGTGAGGGGGGAAAAGTATTTGATCCCCTGCTGATTTTGTACATTTGCCCACTGACAAAGACATGATCAGTCTATAATTTTAATGGTAGGTTTATTTGAACAGAGAGACAGAATAAAATAAAAAAAATCCAGAAAAACGCATGTCAAAAATGTTATGAATTGATTTGCATTTTAATGAGGGAAATAAGTATTTGACCCCTCTGCAAAACATGACTTAGTACTTGGTGGCAAAACCCTTGTTGGCAATCACAGAGGTCAGACGTTTCTTTAAGTTGGCCACCAGGTTTGCACACATCTCAGGAGGGATTTTGTCCCACTCCTCTTTGCAGATCTTCTCCAAGTCATTAAGGTTTCGAGGCTGACGTTTGGCAACTCAAACCTTCAGCTCCCTCCACAGATTTATGGGATTAAGGTCTGGAGACTGGCTAGGCCACTCCAGGACCTTAATGTGCTTCTTCTTGAGCCACTCCTTTGTTGCCTTGGCCTTGTGTTTTGGGTCATTGTCATGCTGGAATACCCATCCACGACCCATTTTCAATGCCCTGGCTGAGGGAGGGAGGTTCTCACCCAAGATTTGACGGTACATGGCCCCGTCCGTCGTCCCTTTGATGCAGTGAAGTTGTCCTGTCCCCTTAGCAGAAAAACACCCCCTTAGCATAATGTTTCCACCTCCATGTTTGACGGTGGGGATGGTGTTCTTGGGGTCATAGGCAGCATTCCTCCGCCTCCAAACACGGCGAGTTGAGTTGATGCCAAAGAGCTCCATTTTGGTCTCATCTGACCACAACACTTTCACCCAGTTCTCCTCTGAATCATTCAGATGTTCATTGGCAAACTTCAGACGGGCCTGTATATGTGCTTTCTTGAGCAGGGGGACCTTGCGGGCGCTGCAGGATTTCAGTCCTTCACGGCGTAGTGTGTTACCAATTGTTGTCTTGGTGACTATGGTCCCAGCTGGCTTGAGATCATTGACAAGATCCTCCCGTGTAGTTCTGGGCTGATTCCTCACCGTTCTCATGATCATTGCAACTCCACGAGGTGAGATCTTGCATGGAGCCCCAGGCCGAGGGAGATTGACAGTTATTTTGTGTTTCTTCCATTTGCGAATAATCGCACCAACTGTTGTCACCTTCTCACCAAGCTGCTTGACGATGGTCTTATAGCCCATTCCAACCTTGTGTAGGTCTACAATCTTGTCCCTGACATCCTTGCAGAGCTCTTTGGTCTTGGCCATGGTGGAGAGTTTGGAATCTGATTGATTGATTGCTTCTGTGGGCAGGTCTTTTATACAGGTAACAAACTGAGATTAGGAGCACTCCCTTTTAAGTGTGCTCCTAATCTCTGCTCGTTACCTGTATAAAAGACACCTGGGAGCCAGAAATCTTTCTGATTGAGAGGGGGTCAAATACTTATAAAATGCAAATCAATTTATAACATTTTTTACATGCGTTTTTCTGGATTTATTTGTTGTTATTCTGTCTCTCACTGTTCAAATAAACCTACCATTAAAATCATAGACAGATCATTTCTTTGTCAGTGGGCAAATGTACAAAATCAGCAGGGGATCAAATACCTTTTTCCCTCACTGTAATTTGCACCTGGAAATGATTTGATATTGATATAAAAACGTCTGCATTGGGCCTTTAACAACACCTTTAATTTGGCCCTTCCCTGATACATAGTATTTTAAAACCTCTTCTAAAATCTCCCTCATGTCTCATTTAGTTGCGAGATCTGAAAGCAGTGGGGAAAAAGTTTGTTCATGTGATGTATCCTAAGAAGAGTTCAGCGCTACTGAGAGACTGTGAGTACTGTGTACTTTGAAAGATGAATTAATCTTTTATACTATTCGAACACAAAGAACAGGTGATGTGACATAGCTGTATCTAACTTAGTCATATATTTATCCAACGTGTACAAGGATAACAGCATAATGAAATGACAAACATTATATACAATTACATTTGTAATAGTACCTAGGAAAATCTGGCAAACAAAATGTGCCAGGTGTTTTAATAATATTATTTTAACTTTCTCCAATACTACCTAGGGAAATGTGAGGATGCTAAGTGTGTTTGATGTTCTAGAAGGAATATTGTGTTTACTTCGTCGTCTTTTCCAGGGGACTTGTGGGGCCCATTATTGCTCTGCGTGACACTGGCTCTGTGAGTATTCATGTTTCAATGTAGTACCAGAATATGACTTCTAACACTCTTTGAGAAAGATGAGCTATGGATTGATAATGTTTCCTTCCTGTTTTTTAGGATGCTGCAGGGGGGTTCAGTTGACAGTAAGGATGACGGAGGGCCCCAGTTCGCGGAGGTGTTTGTGATCATCTGGTTTGGATCTGTCATCATCACACTGAACTCCAAGCTGTTGGGAGGCACCATGTATGTGTCTGTCATTTCCAACTGCCCAACTTTCTAGCTGGCTTCCAATCATTATAGTGAAATGATTCAATATTAAAAATATTGACATGAGGGCATTTAAATTTGCAAATAATGTAATATGATTAGTTCCTTAAGTTAATTTTAATTAATTCATTGAAACCTTGTTTAACAATGCCTGTTTTCCCTCCCTCTCTAGATCTTTTTTCCAGAGCCTGTGTGTGCTAGGCTACTGCATTATGCCTCTGACCGTGGCAATGGTTGTCTGTAGGCTAGTGCTGCTGGGTGGGTCTGGGACAGTCAGCTTCATCGTCCGACTAATTGTGGTCACAGCATCATTCAGTTGGTCCACGTTTGGTAAGGAACGTCCTTTTCATAAGGAGACAATTATATTTTCTTTTTAAATGTGGTTGGCTATGTTTATTGGTGCAAACACACCTCTACAAACACATTCACTGTTTGCAGTCATACTGACTTCCAGTAGGTAGAGCTGTTGCATAAAGATTCAACTTATAATGTTCCTCATAACATTAGTACTACATTTTAAGTCTAATCTTATCATAAAACAAGTCACTGATAACTCATGAGTGTATGTATGTATATGTTTTCCCCCCAGCTTCTACAGCTTTCTTAGCAGATAGCCAGCCTCCCAATCGCAAAGCTTTGGTGGTGTATCCCGTCTTCCTCTTTTACTTTGTCATTGGATGGATGATTCTCACGTTCTCACCGTCCGCGTAACAGTGGACTTATCTCTAAACTGAACTTAACACAATCCTTTTGGAATAGAAAGATACAAATCAACACCTTGCCATTTGTGAAAGCTGAGGACTGTGGAGTGTTGGGAGTACTTTTTGTGGAAAACATTGTGCATGTTCCTTTGGCGCAACAAGGAAAATGAGATATTGACCATAGTGCACAATGCTTTGCCTCTTTCTCTTTTTTGTGTCTCTATTATTGCTAAGCTTAGCTAAGAAATAGAGTACAATGAACAAAAGTCAAAGTGAGTCCCTATAAGGATGTCAGAAAAGCCTATCTGCTTGATTTAACAAGCTCTCTGTGTCTCACATGAAGAGATAACGTATCTCAATTGTTTCCTGCCTTGTAAATTATCTTACAATTCCAACTAAGGTTCCTACACTAAGCACATTCCTCACTGTGATATTAATAATTCATCATAACATGTAGTCTAGCAGGAACAAAGGGGACCATGAAATCTATATTGTATGTTTCATGGTCTATTGCCATTTACCTATCCCACTGATGAATATGTGATGCCAGTATGTACACTGTGCCTCACTACAGGCTACTGCATATGCCCTATCACTCAAACATTGCTTGGAAGGTTTCTGTTTTATTTAGGAATAAGTTAATTGTTTTCAAGTAGTATTATCTTATTCAGAAGGTAGGATTTGATTATCCGCAGATAGTAGGTGGCAGTGTTGCTCGATTTTCATATGAGCAACCTAAAAATGATGTAGGTGGCTGTAGTGTACATTTTCTACTTTTTTCTTTCAAATTAATTTTTCCTTGGGAAAGTTATGTTAATATATATATTTATACATTTCCTGTTCTCTCTAAATAATTGAATGTTATTCTATTAAAACAGAAACGCTATGGGGAAAAAACAATGGCACCCTCCAAAACCTGACTCATTCCTATTTGTTTCTATAATTGTTTTTATTTATATTTTTATTTGGTTCTGTAATATGGTACAAAATCTGTTGTTTTTCTGTTGTTCAGATGCCAGTCAAAGTCTCTGTGAATCATGAGTCACAGAAAGTACACCTTAAGTTCACAGTTTTAGTTATTTTATCATCAAATGTATTGTACATGGGGACAATGACCCTGCCATGTACTACTTGAAATTTGCTGTTGGTCCTTCTGAGCTCATTTTGGCCAGAATCACACTTAAAGAGAAAATCCACAATTAAATTAATCTTCTCCAGTAATACTGCAAAGTCAACAAATGAAAACAAAGGTTTTTATGATTTATAGTCTATCATCCGGAAACACTGATTACATTATCTGGTGTGCATCGGGCCCGATTCCAACCTGATTTAAGCATGTCTAAATGGAACATAATTCCCATTTTATGCACTTTTCTCTATGCATATTCTGACCTTGAATTTAAGCATGAGAATAGCTTGTTATTCACCTGCTATTCGTTTCGGGAGCAGATCGAATAAATGAAGGTATGGCGGAGGTGTGTCTATTCTGACCTCAACTTAATTCCATCCCCTTTATGTGTGAGGAAACCATGAATAAGGTCTAGGGAACCTACCAGTTCCAAATGGAAAAAGCATATATTTTTTCCAATAGAAATAACAGCATTTCCGTGCACTGTAATTTATAAATGAATAAGAGCTAGGTAAAGGAGTAATCCATTTTGGAGAAGGGGATTGTAAATACACATAGATGATTTTTCCTTATGATCCCTGGAGACGAATGTGAAAGCAGCAATATGGAAGCAAACTGAAAACCATATCAACATGACATGAATTGTGGCCCCTTTTCCACAGGGAAGTAGGCTGTAAATAGCTATAAAATACATTTAGCATCATTCCATTCCGTTGATCTTTCTTTCCTCTGTCATGTCCGTGGAAGTTGTTCGTTAGGGCCGCTAGCATTAGTGGATCAATATAGGCTAACGTTGTGCAATAATTTGTGACATGTAGCCTATTTGAATCATTATGGAACTCTTCACAAGTAGTAGGTTAAACCTGGAGCCTGGCGCACGGTTCACGACGACTGGAGCGTTGTTATACAGTTCCATGATTAGTGAGAATTAGGGTATATTTATAGGACTGTTGTTCAACCCCTATTGTACACTTTTTTTTCCCACCTTCCAATATTTCATGGATTGAACTTGAAGTTGACAACTTTCAGGATGAATCAAACCACTATTTTTTTATCATCAATATATTTTATGTGTATCTACCAGCTGAAACGGAGACGAAGATGCATAGATGGCATTCTTTCATTGATCCATATATTCTGAACCCATTCTCTCTGTGTATTCTATTGAGTGTGTCGATAAAATTCTAATTAAAGGTACTAAATATTTAAAGAGATGGCTTAAGATAAATGTACTGAAAACCATATCGAATGAAAACTCAGCCAGAAAATCTGTTGGCCAGCAAGTGTGCGTGTTTTCAGCAGGTGAATTAAATGTATTCAGAGAGTGCACGGTAGCCACACCTGCCGAGCGTGTAAACGCGACTGAATAAGGTAAATCTGAATACCTAAATACTGAGAAATGCATAGAAAAGGCGTAACTTCCTAAGTCTGAATCGGCCTCTAGTGATTTTAAACAACTATGAGCAGGCAAAAGTTAATAAATAAAAGTAAGTTGATGTTGATAAATGGACTTTTCCCTTTAAATTAAGAGGCATTATGCAGATGGATTCCTGTCTTAAAGACATTGATATGATGGAATCAGAAGCTAAATGGGAAAGATGGTGTTTCTGTCTTTGAAATTTTTAAATATATAGGGATTTGGAGGAATAAAAGTCCTTCGTATACACATTTCTTCTGTAACTAGCAATATAACTCCAATATTATGCAAGAAGAACTCCGGAGCAGCAGCAGTTAAACTGAAATTATATTTTAATTAGTTTGATAGCCTATCAGAAGCATCTGATTGTTATGGGTTAGTTTGCCAGCTTATGTGTAGCTCCTGACTGTTGACTCAAGGCATGTGTGTGAAGAGAAATCATTTATTGGGAATATAACCTTCCCAAATACCCGCACTGAAACCTCATTTACATTTGTATTCTGTTTAAATAAAGCACTTCTAGAGATTATTTCCTCTGAAAATCATAGCACTTTCAAAACCTCAAGCAATGCAAATGTGTCTGCTTCCATCATGATGTTTGTACTTATATAACACTGTAAACCTATAATAATAACTAACGGGAAGAAAATGCATGTTCCCTTTCCTTTCAAATTAATAGTTTTTCTGAAGCTACTTAGGCTACATGGTGCTAAATTACGGTGAGTAGTCCCATGAATGCATATTTTCATCCACTTGTTGTATTTTATAATAAGGTGTGGGATATCCCTCAAGCAAGGAGTGGCTTTTCATGATATAAAACACAATAACGTAGAAATTGCACTCAGTGTTGTCTAGAGCTCAGAACATGCTTCACTTGGATGGGTTTTTCTCTCCACAGTTATTGTTCCCACAAATACCAGAGCCACCCTCTATTAGGCCTATCTGAAACTCATCTAAGTACTTGATGGGACTGACCCCATCACCAACAGAACAGAGATGATATAGATCTCACTAAAGGATCTTAATTTAAGTTATCTCCCATCATCTCACCACCATTATTTCAGTCCACAAAGCTTTAGAGGGATCTTTGGAAAAGGAACTATCTTGGCCCAGGTGACAGTTTCATATTCTTGTAGAGGAGAAAAAAGCCAGTAAGACTGCCACTTCCCCCGAGTCGAGAGGTCAGGCTTAACTGCCAGCCTAGCAGACACTTTTTCTATGGAGAGAAGCCAAATCCAAACTGGCGTCCCTTGACACTTTTTTTTGGTGCCCCAGGACCATTCACAGTTGAGCTCACTCAATTTAGCTCAATGCTGATTGGCTATTATTTTATACTTTTTTATCAAGGGAGGCCAAATGCTCGCTGGGTTTCTTCCCTTGCATTCAATGCTACAAGCGGCAACAATGTCATACTCTTTTTGACCAGACAGCATCAGATAAATGGCCAACACATACAGAGACAGAGGGGTGGTGTTTCGCTCGCTCTGATACTTTCTCCGGTGAGATACATTCAGTCTCTTGTGAATTGAAGGACAATTATGAAACACAGAGAGACGAAAGAGGATAAATAATTGTATATGTTCTTTTTTTTCTAGGATTTGTTTTTGGGGAAGCCTGGCTTCCCTTGGCATCCATGAATACATGCCACTGCCAAGGTCCTTCTTGCCTGGTTGCTCAGTTTGGTCGGACGGCCAGCTCTAAGCAGAGTCTGGGTAGTTCCATATTTTTTTTCAATTCCCCAATGATGGAGACCACTGTGCTCTTGGAAACTTTCAACACTCTAGAAATAATTGTATACCCTTCCCCAGATATATAGTGCTGTCAGGAAGTATTCACACCCCTTTACTTTTTCCACATTTTGTTGTGTTACGGCCTGAATTTAAAATGGATTAAATGTAGATTTTTTAGGCCTACACACAATACCCCATAATATCAAAATGGATTCATGTTTATCGAAATTATTACAAATTAATACAAAAGTAAAATCTGAAATGTCTTGAGTCAATAAGTATGATAGCCTAAATACATTCAGGAGTAAAAATGTGCTTAAGTCACATAATAAGTTGCATGGATTCACTCTGTGTGCAATAATAGTGTTTAACCTCTACGAGATCGGTGTCCCGTATACGGGACGGTTGAGCTAATGTGCGCTAATGTGATTAGCATGACTGTTGTAAGTAACAGCAAACTTTCAAGGACATAGGCATGTCTTATATGGGCAGAAAGCTTAAATTCTTGTTAATCTAACTGCACTGTCCAATTTACAGTAGCTATTACAGTGAAACAATACCATGGTATTGTTTTAGGAGCGTGCACAACAACAAAAAACGTATCATGGCAACTGGTTTGATACATTCACCTCTGAAGGTAAATAATGTACTTACATTCAGTAATCTTGCTCTGATTTGTCATCCTAAGGGACCCAGAGATAAAATGTAGCATACCTTTGTTTGATAAAATCAAT